CATGGTTTTATAGCTAGCTAAACCTCTCACTTGTATGACAGTCGCATCAAATTCCATTATATTGACAACGATGCGTGAACAAAACAAACAGACACAATAGGTAAAAATGTCAAAAATAGGGGTACAGCAGTCAACATTGTGTTATCACCTTAATCATTATAAAACAAACAAATGTAACGAAGAAGCACAAAAAGGCATACATCAAATTTAACATCCTCATTTTGCTTATATTATACGATTTTATTTATCTACGTAAAATCCACCCATAAAGGATGGAAGGTTTTAAGTACTGGCGTAAAATCGCCCGTTTGAAATTCGCACAGGTAGACATAAAGTAATTTTGTCGTTCAAAGTATGACGGGATACATAAATTCAGAGTCACGTAAAATGGATATCACAAAAAACAGACTTAACAGTAAAAGTAATACTAATAAATAAAATAAATGTGTGGTTAAAAGTATGACGGGATACATAAGTACAGAGTCACGTCAAATGTACATCACAAAAAACAGACTTAACAGTAAAAGTAATATTAATAAATTAAATAATTTTGTCGTTCAAAGTATGATGGGATACATAAGCACAGAGTCACGTCAAATGGATATCTCAAAAAACAGACTTAACAGTAAACGTAATATTAATAAAGACAAATAAAAGAATACTATAACACGTTATTAAGATGATAAACAACGTCAGTACGCAAAATCTATACTTCAAGACCATCGTGTATTATTTGTGAAGTTGATACGGAATATTTATCAACAAGTTCTTGGTACCTTCCGATGAACTTATTTAGAAAAAAGGACGAGACGTTCTTTGGCATACCCTTGGTTCATCAACTTTCTGCTCAGACACTGGTGACGTTTTACAAAGTCTGAGTAGGAGCTGCAAGTTCTTGAATAACGAATAAGTTGGGAAATGTATATCTCATATGCAGGTGAAGTTGGTATTTTGCTACTAAGGTGGGGGAAATTGTTAAATTCAAAATCAAAATCGTCTTGTTTTGTCATAGATTCTGGTACTGAGATGACTGTGTATGTCAAATTCGAGGTATAAGTCTAAAAATGAGGCGGAGGAAGCCGTGTCTGTTGTTTCGTTAATTTCTAGTTTTGGTGGATATATTAATGGAACCCAATCAAAAAAGTTCGGATTGTTAATGGAAAGAGCATCATCAATATATCTGAAAGTGAAATTAAATAACCTGGCTTCTTTGATTTTCTTGTTTTTGACAAGTGTCTGAAGGAACTGCGATTCATAAGAAAGTAAGAAGAGGTCGGCAAGGAGAGGCGCACAGTTCGTTCCCATAGGAATGCCGTCAATTTGTTGAAAAAGTCTACATCCAAATTCAACAAATATGTTGTCAATAAGAAACTCCAGCATACTGATCACTTGTTCCTCTGTGTAGCATGTTTTACCCTTTTGTTCACTATTAACAAAATATGCCTTATGGTATCCCAAAGTAATAAATTTATAGCGTATGCTACCATTTTTATGATGAAAAACATTGTGGATTATTTCTCTTAGACGGTTTTTCAATTTCACATGGGGAATGGTGGTATACAAGGTTGAAAAATCAAAAGTTTTTATAGAACTAATTTCAGAAAAAGAAATTTCTAAAACATTATTATGATTAAACTTCCAGATATATGGCCAACAACATTTGATGACTAACAATCCTAGCGAGGGGATCAATTTAAATAACTCACTATTCTTTAGTATGGATTCGAATGGGCAAGCTGCGCAATTTGTGGTCAGTGAAAAGTTTACATCTTTTCAAAATTTTAAGTATAAACTTCAACGATTCCAAGCTGCAAATTTTATTCAATTATATAGAAGAAGTTCTTGTAAAAAAAAGATAAGAAATAAAGATTTCAACTATTCTGACTAATTGACTATTCATGCATTCATGGTGGCAGAAATTTTAAATGTTTAAATTATTCTTGCCATGTTCATTAAATAATTTTGTTTTCATATACATTTTTTCAAATATTTGATCCGAATGGCAAGAATACTGTACAAAGTTTCCCGATGCTACACACAAAAAAGACATAATTTGCAAATGTAACATTTTGCGGGTAACAATAACTGCAGGTAACAATAAAAATAATTTTATTGTTACCTAACAATAAAAATAATTTTATTGTTACCTGCAATTTCCGTATGAAATTGGATTCCTCTCCGGAAGTACATTTAGGTAATTAGTCTCGGAAGTAACAATAAATATTTCTTATTGTTACTTTTTGCGGGTAACCGTAGCCAGTGCCTTTCTAAAATCTGGACCATCAGAAATACTGATAGTTCCCAAAATTGTCGATCGAAATCTTATTGTAGTTGAGGGAGCAATACCCTTATACTAAAAAAACCTAAAAATTCTGCTTATTTCTCAGTGACTTCGAACTGATCATTACCCGTGCACTACACCAGACAGAGAAGATTTTCCATTCGACATCAATTGTTGGTGGAGCGAGCCTCTGACTGATTTAGAGATAGCCATGGCTGCTCTCTCAGAAAAGCCTCTCAAACTCTTCGGTGTTGACATGAATTATCAATGATATGGTCATAATTATGAATTAACTGTTAACCAATCTTTGAATTTTCGAAATACTAAAGATTTTATACCCCAGGAATAGATTACCTTAGCTTTATTTGGCAAAACCTTTAGGAATTTTTGGTCCTCAATGCTATTCAACTTCGTACTTTATTTGGCCTTTCAAACTTTTTTGGATTTCAGCGTCACTGTTGAGTCTTTTGTAGACGAAACGCGCCAGGTTTCTTGAAGCCTTAGAGTTACCAGAATGTTTGGAGGACTTAGGAGCAGAAGATTTTGTTTACTTTCTAAAGAAGACCTTTCTCTTCTAACTTACAGATGAAAAAGAAAAGAAGGAACTTTCCTCTACCCATTATAAACATGAAAACTAACTTTGCCTCAAAGAGGACTTGAACTTAGATTCTCTTGTACCTTTGACAAAGGCAACCCTAAGATTTTGTCAGTAAGAAGGGACTCAGCCCTTTATATAGGGTAATGTTACTTAATCTTATATGGCATTGTAATGTAAAAACTATTCATGATTATGTTGTTTTATTAATGTACACCCAACATCTCTTTTTTCAAATTATTGTACAAGATTGTAAAATTTTACCATGATGTTATTCTTTATAAAGATTTTTGTATGCCCCCACTCAGAAGGTTTCCGAAGAGAGAGAAGGGGTTGGGGTATTTATGAATCACTCTATATGTCCATCTTTGCAAACCATGTCTGGTCCAGAAGGTTCGAATGCCTTGAAGGATATAATGATACTGGAATTTATTGTTGCCCAAAACATGAGGATGTGTTGCAAATTAGGTTTAGGTTGGATTGTTGGTCTGCAAAGTAGTGGTCAATACTTTTCATAAGTACAAGGTACCATAGGATACTTTTTCTTTTGTCATATTTCTTAATATTTAGACACCTTTATTTGTTACATTTCTATTAATTACTAGTACTTGATTATTTCAGAACCTGTATAATACAATTCAGCTTATTCATAACCAAGTAATGATATTATCCTTTAAATCAAATATGCATTCATAACCAAATAATGATATTATCCTTTAAATCAAATATGGACATTTTGATGCATGCCAGATGTCTATTTACAAATTACAAATAGTCTCTGCAGAAAGATTAAAACAAACGAGCAATGCTTCTTGTTTCTGAATCCTACTTTGTTTATACTTATGACCTTACATTGCATGATTAAGATTATTGAATAAAATATTGTTTAAACCAAATAGCAAATGAATATGTATACTATGACATGAAATATAAAAACAAGAAAGTAGCTTACCATAAATCATAGACCCTAACCAATTTCACCTACTAAAGACCTACTCACAAGGTATCCTTGTACATTAAATATTGCTGTTAGCAATGAATCGTAGATCTAATCCATGATACATTTGTTTGTGAACACATAAATAGTTCACTCTCTAATTAAACCTGTACATCAAATATAAATGCCAATTTCAATTGAACTTTATGATACCTATAAAGAGTTGTTTCTGAGTTTATTTTCTCCAGTGACAGTATTCAACATACACCTGTAGCTAGCTTAGCTTCCTGTTGTAGGGAGCACATTTTGACCCAGCTTTCAAAATGATGTGCTGTTTTTTATTCCTTTGTTCAAGTCAGCAGTCATCCTGTTGGTAGTTGAACAGTGCCTTTTAGTTTTACTACATATGGTCTGGTAAAGCAAAGGGGCAGTTTTCTAAACACCTTTAACTGGGTTAAACGCACCACTTTTTTGTGACTGTGCTAAGTCAGACTATCTGGACCATGTATCATTCTAATTTGCTCGTCTATATTGGTATGCCTGGATTTTCATTTAAAAGTGTCAAGTTTTGTTTGCTTAAGTCATCTGATATACTGTGTTGTATTTTGGCAATTGCTATTATATCTTCTTATGTATCACAATGAAGCAAATACCAGAACAATGGTGCAGACATGTGTTTGTGAACACATAAAAATTTTACTTTCCAAGACTGATCTACTTAATTTGTATCTCCATATATCATATATTGTTGTTAACCAGCACCCAACTTATTGTTCAGAGAGACGGTAGAACTACATCTCAATAAAAAAATTTATATGCACTCAACATATATTTTTGCGCTCAACATATATTTATAATGGCTTTGATGTATGAAAAGTTGCTACTGATTGGAAGTTCTGTAATTCTCTGGTTAGAGTGACTGATCATTTGGCTCTACAGAAATATCAATTATAGAATGTGTTACTATGTCAACATTCATTTTCTGATTTCCTAAAAACAATCTATTGGAAATTCTGGCAGGTCCACGTTTTTGACATTGCAGTAAAGCATAGGACTTTAATTCATAGACCAACTTTATAATGTTTAATTTTGTCAGTTTTTATTGACCTCTCCTTTTTTAATTTACCTTGGAATTCGGTATTTTCATTATATTTTTTTTGGTCTGCAAATCAAAAATCAAAATGCTGTTGAATTTTATCTTTTATTTGATCTTATAAGGTGACATAGTTACAAATGATGTATACATATATATAATAAAAATCTATTGGTCTAGAAAAATATCTATATAAAACAATGTACAAAATTTTGATATAAAAATTGAGGATATGTATAACGTGGAATATTTTGATGTAAAATAAAATATCAAAAGCTTGTAATATTAAAACATAGAACAGATTTCATCCTATGGAATTCTTTGTGTGCATATACCCTGTATAAAATGAAATTAAAAACCTAGATACACATACTCAACAAACTGTCATGGAGCTATATTATGCAACATTCACTATGAGAATTCTTAAAAATTGTACAAAATTTATTAACAAAATGATAAAAAAAACAATTACATCACTAACTTGCATTTCAGAAAACAACAATAAATCTTAACAATGGAATGTTTTGATTCTTTCAGCAAATATCACATTGAAATAACAGATCTTAAGAATAACAAATATGAAATTTTCAATAAAATTTGAAATACAAATGTAGAATATTGCTATGGTACAACTTCCTGATAATTTTTAACAAAACGAAAAAAAAGTATGCATTAAGGAAGAAAACTCCTACTTTGTTTTAACTAAAATTGTTGATTCTAATTCATAAATTGAGCAAGATTAACTTGATTATTTTTTTAGCAAGAAAAATATAACGTGAAAGCAATTGAATTGTTAAATTTTATGATCAACAGTTTATTACTCAGCTTCAAAGTAGTATTCAGGTCCAGCAATAACCTCGACATCATTACCAGTTCTAGAGGAGGTAGTACGATAGATATCTCCACCTCCGTTTGATACTACTCTCTCTTCTAGCACAATCTGCTCATCCCCACGGAGTTCATCCTGATGGTGCCTGCTCTTCTTCTTCTTCCTGCGGCGACGTCTACGTTCTTCTTCATCATAAGTATATTCAATAGCTGGTAGATAATAAGGACGAGAGGCAGCAGAAGTTGTTACATATCTTTCTCCCCTAAAAAAATAAAAATTAAATTAAATGATATCATGTTCAGTGAATTTTTGAAATATTGGACTCTTTGCTAAATTTTGAGGCCACCCCTCCCCCATATCATTAACAGTATATTTGTTCAGGATTTATATTCCTTTAAATATCTTATCTATAGCTGCTATATTTGCTATAGTTGCTTACATCCATGTCAATTGAACTCTGATGGATAGATGTCCCATTGGCTATCATACCACATCTCCTTATTTTTATATTGACAAAATTCAGACCACAACAAATTTCTGTAATGTCATGGATCAATTTATAAACAACCTTATTATATACTTAGTAGTAAATACAGATAAATTGTATGTGTAATACAGTCATTGGCAAGCTTGCTGTATCAGCCACCCGTGATGATATCGATATCAGCATGGTTGCAAAGGCTTTATCACACCTTTAATCTGTATGACGTCACATCATCGATTGCAGTCACTGTTGCAAAGCAGGTTTTATCAAACCCATAATCTGTATGACGTCATGTCAAACCTCTAATCTGTATGACGTCATTTCAACCCCCCTCATCTGTATGACGTCATGTCACATAAAACACATCTACGTGAGGTATTTGTATATAATAAAGTGTATATGATATGGCTTTTTCAATATCACACACCGTAACTCTGCTCGAGGGATTATATTGGTGTCTCGTGTTGATACGGATGTGATATTGAAAAAGCCATATGATATTCTCTATTTATATCACCCATTACAACTTTCTCTAGAAATAATGACAACAAAGTTTAACACATGTACAGTGGTTTTACACAAAAGTTATTACATCCCATTGGTAATCATTGGAATCTTTAGAAACAAGACATTTATTGCAAGTCTATTCAAATACAACATGTTTAAGAGTTTAAATTTATGAAACATAGGCTAATTATATAATAATGTGTAAATAAGTTAATATTCAGTCAAGCAAATTATACCTTGCAGAATTATTATTAACCCTTTCAAAACATCTGCACTTTTAAAAGATATGTTGTTATTCTTAATATAAGCTTAATTGTAGTACCAACATTTTGTAAAAAAAGCAACAGTATAAAGGATTTCTAATAAGTCAAGCCTGGACACCCAAACAATTGTGGTCCTGAACCCTATATAGTTTTCTGACAAAAGGGGGTGCTACTAAGCCCTGTTCACACCCAACACAACCCATCCATGGTTATAAAAAATTATTTTATAGCAAAAACTTGTTTACAAATAGAAAAAAATCTATAAAATAAATATAAAAACTGATTTTTTACAGGGAGATTACTCAGTATTATAGTAGATCAATTTATCTATATTGTCATGTAAAGTTCGAATATAGAGTGCACATATTTTATTTTTTTAATTCATGAAAACATTTAATTGGCTTGTAGGTTCTCATATTTTATTTCAAAATTCTATCATTTGATTTTCTGTTTAATCATCTAAGAGTGCATTTTACTTGTACAATCATAACAAAATATCAGAATTGTGCACATGTAGCATCAAAGCTGACCAGCATGGTGATTTTATATTTTATTATACTGCAACTGTGCTATTTGGGCAGTCAAATTGAATTTACCGTATATTTATTTCTGATATACAGTCACTGACGGTATAACGCCTCGTTTGTGATATTATGTATTTCTGTAGGTTTATTTATGATGTTAATAAAGAATACTGGTTCATGGAGTTTCTAAGTTGTTCGCTTTAAATTAAAAATTGATGGTTTTTACCCAAAATATTGCATTTGGAACAGTTGTAAGAATTGCAGTATAAAGAGAATGTGTATACATTGTCTCCAAATATAATTTTTATTTGGAATCTGCTTGAACAGAATAGAAATGCTGGGCACAATGTTGCATTCGACATCCTTCTAAGCCTTGTAAATATAAATTCTATATTTTGAGAAAATGTATAGTTACTCTATAATTATATATATGTTGGGAATTGCATTATATATACGATATTTTGGTAAAGTATACAAAAACATCTTATATTTTTTGTTGCTACCATAACAGATCATGTGATTACCGCTGATTTCAATAACTGTTATCTTTTTAAATTACTATTTTTTTTAGAAATTAGATTAAGAATAAATCAGACCATGTGCAAGAAAATATATTGGTTTGTTTGAAATCTTTTCTCTAATCCTTGAGTACAATCTGGGTACAGAATGGACAATTAAAAATCTCTCTTGGTTGTAAGAATAATTTTTTCATATTTCTGTAAACACCAGTGTAATCATTTTCAATCACTTTTAATGACCCTCTTTCACAACAGCAAGAACAATACTTCATAGAATCTCGGAGTCTTTACTTTAAATTTTTTAGCTATTGCAAATCCTTACTTATTGTTTGATAATCATATTTTTGTGTTTACTATGGCAGCGCCGAGACTTCCTATACAGAAATAGGACAGATATATCTTGTACTTACACATCATATTCAGGTCTTACGACTCGGTACTTAGTAATCTCGTATTCATTCTGAGGTCTGCAATAAAAACATGTTAGTTAGGAATATTAAGAAGCAAAGCTAGACTTTGGAAATACACCTTGTAAGCTTTAGTACAGATTTAGTATAAACTAAATGATAAGCATTTTAAACATTCAGTCATTTAAGGTCAGAAAACTATCTGAAAAATTGCATTTTTCAAAATTCATAAAAATTGCCAAACAAATTGCAAAGCATGATTTTGCTTTTTGAAGAACATTTTTTTTTGTAAGATAGGAATCCCCCAGACACTGAAAAAAGATGTGAACAAAGACCATATTCCTAAATCATAACAAAATATAAACCTAAATTTTTAAATCAATAACATACCAATTATTCGATCAATGACTTAAAAATTCCAGCCAGATCAATTTTTTTGTAATTTTTTTCCAAAGACTATGAAGCAGTCAATAATAGATCAACCTGAAGGAAACACAACTCTATCTCAGATTAAGATATATTCAAATGCATACAAAAAAAAGGCCAATGTCTACAGGAACCATGGAAAAAGTACAAAAACTGTGTACAAAACCTTTTAGGTTAAAAAACAAAAAAATAAATTTGAAGCAATGATAAGTATGATATTCAATGATTCCCATTATATAAATAATAATAAGCTATTAGGATTGTTTACATTTTGTATATTATATTATATATAAGGTTATAAACATTCTGGAATGAATACCAGCCATAAGATTACTGCTGTGGATTAAAAGTAAATACTAACAAAACTTTCTTATAAAGTACAGACAAGAGCAGACATGGTCTATTTGTCAATGAGACAGATTAGAAAAGGGGTCTTTAAAGAACAAATTAAAATGTATTTGGACTGTCATTACAAATTCAACAATATATGTTTCTCTCATAACATTTTTTTTTTACCTTAAGCATGTAATTAACTTGAACTAATTAAAAAAATCAATGATTTACAGGTTGAAATGGCATATAAATCCAGTTACAAACTTTTTTTATGGGTAAAATGTTAATTTGTACTCTGCCATTCAATTCCAAATCAGTAATCTTATTCTAACCTGCAATTATAAAGGTCAGGGCAAATGTACAAATAAAAAGTATGACAAACGAAAAGGATATATATATATATCTTATTTCTTGACCATAAAATATATAATCATATATGGGCTTTAAAATTACTGGGTTTCAATAGTGAACAATTTTTCGTAGAAACTTTGACGGACTGAATATATTCTAATGTCTTACCTTGCAGCACCATAGGCCATTGGAACTGTATCTACATAGACATCTCTCTTAGATATCATTGATGGCTCCCTGAAAACAAAAATCAATAAATATATTATCTAATCAATGTGACTTGTAAATTAATAGAATTCAAGGATAAAACAAATATGGACTGCACTCTTGACATATACAATATAAAACCAAGAATTTGCACTAACAAAAGTTAAATCTCTATATAATATCCATCTTTATTATACTTCACGTTAAAATGCCATATTTTGATTGGCTAATACAAGGGTGTTTATTTACTATATTACCCTTCATGGAGACCCTTGATCAAGTGTGTGCTTTATTAAATACGACTCTATCCTATGGCAAATACTCTATTACCCTTCACGGTGACGCTTGATCAAGTGTGTGTTTTATTAAATATGACTCTATCCTATGGCAAATACTCTATTACCCTTCACGGAGAAGCTTGATCAAGTGTGCGCTTTATTAAATACAGATGGTTGTTATGTACAAGACGACATAGTTTATTACTTTGAATTTGAAATTTAATCGACAGTAATAACAGAACATTCAGTATAATAAATTAAATAACACATATCTGAGAGGGTGATAGAGCAGATTGTTACCCCTCGAAAATACATTGTTGACCTTGGCTTCGCCTCAGTTGACAATGTTTTCTTGGGGTAACAATCTGCTCTATCACCCTCTCAGCTATGTGTTATTTATATAGTGATAAGATCTTTCCAGCGTACTTTGCCACAATTAATTTATGCAATTTTTTAATTCACAATAGAGAAGATCCAAGTCTGACATATTCACAACATTTTATATTTGCATATTGTTTCTACTTGCAAAAGTTGCAAAACTAAATTGCTTGCAAAAAAAAGTCGGTTTAGTTCAATCAAAAGCAATTAGAACAACAACAAAAAAAACAACATAGCTTATTTTAAGTTACATTAGAGAAGCCAAAATCCTACCTAGTGACAACAGTAGGTACTTCATAGAATCTTGGAATATCAAGTTTTTCATGATCAGGTGTAATACGTCTTTCTTTGTCTTTACCAGCTCCAGCCCCAAAGCACATTGCACAACAACCTGAAAAATAAATATACAGCATATCATTATCATTCATCATTTTACCTATATAATACCAGGGTAATTGTTGTAAGTATTTTTTTCTTTAAAATTGAAATATTCTAATGTCGTTTAAATAGATATAAGCTGAACTAAAATACCCAATCGGCAATAAAGGACAGGTAATGCATGTGCGATGATACATGTCAACATGCTGTGTATTAATAATCCATTTTTCTTGTTAATAAAAATATCACGTAATTGTTGCTAGTATTTTTTTCTTTAAAATTGAAATATTCTAATGTCGATTAAATATTCAACTGAGATTTTTGAATCATCTGACCAAATTAACTCTTATTTCTGAAATCCTTTATTAAAGCAATCTTATATTTGAAAAACAACACAAGATAATCTTACCTTGTAGTATACAACATACACATAGAACAATCAACAACAGGATGAAGAAGAGGATTCCCAAACATATAGCTGCTATTTCTCCTCCAGTCAACCCTGCTGAGGCCACTGATGCTCCAGTTCCTGGAGTTACTATCAAAAACAAACAAAATTTATAATTAATATAACAATTCAATTAAACAATGCTACTTTTCTGAAAAATGGGATTGTCAATCTATATATATATTGACACAAAAAACCCAACATGCTACAAGTTGCAAGTGCATGATATCATTGGTCATCTTCAACGGAATTATTGATTTTTTTTCTTTCTTTTTACTTATTTGCACGCTTCATTTTGACAATGACATTTTTTGTGTGTGAAAAGTAGAGGAAGAGAGATATGTATGAAGTAAACTAAGTATCATTTCTTTAGGTAAATTTGAAATCACTTTCAACAATACCTATTAAAAAAAAAATCAGTCTGTATTTTCTATCATAGAAGTAGCCCATCAAACACCTTGTCTTATGAATAATCAAATGAAGGCTTTATAACTGAATAACCATTAAAAAAAATACTTAGTTATTAGATCAATTCTAACACAGATGACATTTAAAAATTTTCTCACAGTCTAGTAGTGCATACTTGAACAGCTTTACTTTATTGTTGTAGACAACCTCCATTTAAAAACTGCACCAATTTAATATTGGTATATCTGCACTCACCTCCTGACCCTACGGAAACACTGAAATGAATGTCTGCGGAGTGTCCAACTTCATTGTATGCAATACAAGTGTACTGTCCAGCATCTTGTTCACTATTCATGTCAACAGTGTATAATTTTTCATTCTGTCCTTCCAAAATGAATCCATTGTATTTCCACTGCCAAGAGATAGCAGAGGGATTGGCAGCAGTATCACATGACAAAGTAATTGGAGAATTCAGACCTTGGCTGAATGAATTTGTGGTAACAGCACTGACGGGTATATCTGTAAATAAAATCTCAGAATTTACATGTGTACAAAAAAGTTACAAAGGAAAAAAATTGTTTTAATTTCTTTAAATGTTACCTGTAAAATCAGAGAAAGATGGCAAATACATTCTGCTATATATCCCTGCTTTTTTTTAGGGGTAGGGTTTAAGGTTGTGATTTTTGCATTGGATATTAACTATTATTTAAAAAAAAACTTTGTTTTCAGCTCTTTATATGTTAAAATTCAATAATGATTTCAAACTACCTTAGACATTACACCTTTAGCAAAAAGTTGGTATTTTACACCTAGTATTTAGCAGAATTAACACAGCGATATAAGCTTATTGAATAAACACAGCAATATAAGCTTATTGGTTCTTTCACACTGATCACATTATATTTATAAACTAAACAAACTTGACAGGGTAAAAAATTCAAAGTCCACTCTTCTTTTGCTAACATATGAAAAAAAACAATGTTGTGCTATGAGAAACCCTAAAAATAATTCAGTTAGTATAAGGTAAGGAGGTGTACAATGTTTTTATTAGGTACTGACAGTCTTCAAATGATATGGAATGAGTTGGGAGATATTAAATATCATCAATGGACCAGACATATCTATAAATATTGACCCATCAATACTTACATTTAACATCTACATCAATTGTTGCCTGCTGTTCCCCTGCACTATTATAAGCCTTACAGGTATACAGTCCATCATGAGGGGTCCATACTGAGTTTTGTACAGTGTAGGTCTGTCCATCTCCTACTTTAGTATCATCGTGGTACCATTCATATTGAGGAGAAGGATTAGCTGTAGCATTACAGAACATGGAGAAACTGTTTCCTTCTAGGACAGTAATACCATTTGGTGTTATCATGATGCCGAAAGGTGCAACTGCAATATACAAAGTATTTATTCAAAATTAAAATGTGATCCATGTATATGTCTTGCTTTACCTCCATCAGGAACATTCAAAAGTTAAAAAATCAGTAAAAACTACCAGACTTTCAACCAAAATGATTTAAAAATTTCCATTATCAGACAAGTATGTAAAAAAAAAAGGAATACTGGTTCTGTGGATTCATTTATTTTCGTGGGTACCAATTTTCGTGGATTGCGGAAAACTTGCATATTCTTTGATATTTGAATTAGTGGTTTTGCCAAAGTATGCATGTATTCTTATAGAAAATTCGTAATTCGTTAGACATTGGAATTCGTTGTTTTAGGGTTACCGCGAAATCCACGAAAATTGGTATCCAACGAATAATAATGAATCCACAGTAATGTAATAAAAGCACGGAAAAGTTTCTTAACTTACAGTATATGTAATCTGAATCCAACTTTAAACACAAAAAGTAACAGACAGCAGTAAAATAATACATCAAACCTACCGGTCAAGTCTACATCCACTTTTCCAAGATTAGAATGACCAACTCCAACAGAGTTCGTGACTGAGCATCTGTAATCGGCAATATCTGATGCTTCTAAATCTAAAATGGTCAGACTAGGATGAGTAACAGTGGCTCCTTGATATTTGTTGCCATTCAGATTAAGTTGACTTGATTGTCCACCAACTAATTTGGTCCAATAAACACTTGTTGCAAATGGATTAGATGTGAATTCACATGGAATTTCAACAGACTGGCCCTTCTTTCCTTGAACGGGTGTAGTTGTAATTGTCACCTTTGGTTTAACTAAAACAAAAACAGAGATGACTTAAATAATTTGAGCAAAATTTTATCATTGGCTGTTTTGTAGAAAATATCAAAACAATATTTACTGTTAATACTCTGTCATTACTTAATAATCATATATCAGGAACTTATATAAATATATATACTCAAATATGTATAATTCTCTTAAATAAGACTCAGGCACTAAAAAGGAAGGTATATTCATCTCCCTTAAATTTCAATAATCTTGATTAATAAATTGACTAGTAATGTGTTTTTGTTCTTCACCAGTTGTAAAAGAGAACTTACAATGTACAGTAACAGTGGTCTGAACTTCTCCGGAACCCATTGTATTAATAGCTTTACAAATATATGTCCCTTTGTGACTCTCCTGTGCATTGTTTATTGTCAGTACAGCAGAATTGGAAATGACATTATCAGATCCAAGTTTTCTCCATTCGAATGTAGGATTTGGGTTTCCTGTAGCAGTGCATGTGGCACTGATAACCTCCCCTTCCTCCACAGTGATTGGACTTGGGTTGATTGCAAGATTGGTTGGTGGATCTGAAATCAAAAGAGATTATTGTTAAATTACAAGGCATTATTTCAAATTAGCTAACAGGCATGCATGACTGTTTTCAATGAGATTTTATAGTGCTGAAGGAAAAATGTATTAGGCAAACAATCATTTCTAAAATTAAATTTGAAGTTGGGAAGCACATCATACTAGAAATGTGCGCACAATCAATGCTTTTACAACCCCATGAAATTATAAAAAAAACATTCAATTATTACAATTACATTTTTATGCTATGATCATGAAATGAGATATATCACGCTTTCTATTTGTTTTTCTATGTATTATGTTAACCGTTTCAGATAGCACGTGCAGTCATAGCTGTTGTATTATATACAGAAATATAATATGATATTGTAATGCCTCACAATTGTTGTCAGAAAATCAAAATTACGGATTCAAATGAAACATACAAGCATTTTTATTCACCTGTTCTAGGTCAGGATCCTGTTGTTCAGTGGTTGTCCTTTGTTGGTGTGGTTCATAGGTGTTTCTCGTTTCTCGTTTTTTTTTATAGATTAGACTGTTGGTTTTCCTGTTTGAATGGTTTTACACTAGTCATTTTGGGGCCCTTTATAGCTTGCTGTTTGGTGAGTGCCAAGGCTCTGTGTCGAAGGCCGTACTTTGACCTATAATTGTTAACTTTTTATACATTGTGACTTGGATGGAGAGTTGTCTCATTGGCACTCATACCACATCTTCTTATTTATATGTAATACAATTAAAGAGTAATGTGCAGAATTAATACAATACAAGTAATACATCTGAAAATATACAACAAATATTTGTCATAGCTTAAAACACAAGAAAAAAGTGAGGCTATGTATCTGTTATAATCTATTTTTACCTCCAACTGTATTCAAAAAGACTGGACTGCTTTCAGCTGTTCCTTCAGCATTTGTAGCCTCACATTTGTAACTACCCCTGTCTACTTCTTCTACAGGATTAATGGTCAGACTTGGTGTTTGAACTGAGCCCCCAGTGTATCGGTTATTGTTATTTATATCAATAACACTCTCAGCATTATTGGTGATAAACTTCCATCTAATCATGGTGGCGCCTGGATTGGCTGTTACAACACATGTGATGGTGACAGGATCGCCTAATCTTACTGAATTAGGAATACTAGCAGTCACTATTGGTGGATCTGAAGTAAAAGGAGAAGACAATCATCAGTTTGTTGAACATGTGGCTTATCAATTTTGCAATTTTTCAGCAAATAAAATATAGAATGTGAATTTGAAATTTATATTTTTATAAATTTTGTATGTCCAAAGCACTTTTTTGGTAAAATTTTAGGTAAATTATTACATTTCTTCAATTGATTAAATAAAAATAATTTGTTATACAAAAGTTAAATACAATCCTCCTATTCTTCAGTTGGTAATAGAATTTATCATAAAAATCAGGAGAATATAATCAAATCCATATCATATTTTCTATTTTAAGGATGTTTGCTACTCAGTTTTAATATAACAAGCTTTTTAAAAGACTGTTATAAATTGATAGTATATAAATAAAGAAACTAAAAAAGCAGAAAAAAATAAAGGGTCCGTGTGCTTGTTTTCGAGATATAAGCCATTGAAAATTAGGCGGGAAATGATTGTTTCTAGATTTTTCATACTTTTAACATTGTCTGCTTTTCTCTTTTAAAAACTATGAAAAAATAACAAGGATTTTATAAGATTTCCAAATATGGCTTTTAAAACAATATGTAATCAAATTATGAAAAGAAAAGTAGGGATTAGTTGACAAAATTTTTAATGGCAACACACATGGATAAAACCAGAGGATTCCGAAAATCTGTCAAAAATTCAAAAACAAGAGGAGCGAACATCCTTAATATGACATGTTGCTTTCACTTTGTAAACAACAGCATGATAAAATTCTCAATAAATCTATATTTAGTGCAGGCTCATAGATGTGCATATTCATGGCTGCTACAGTTTACCCCCATGGAAGTTTACATGTATGGTAAACACTATGTTGATTTTGCTATGTGAAAATTGTGATTGAAAAAAAAAACCTACAAATTCCTATTCTAATGCATAACAAAAAGAATAAAAGCATTTGAAACCACTGAATTGACTAAGTAATATGATGTGAAGCATCTGTAAAGGTATCAACATACTTCCAATAACATTTAAGAATGAAGGAGAAGAAGCTGATCCAGTTCCAACGATATTAACAGCGAAACAATTGTACTGTGCTTCATCTGCCTCCTCCACATTGTAGATGATGAGCGATGGGGAGTTTACATTACCGCCACCATAATCACTGGTCCCCTGTGGTATTTGCTGTGCAGCATTATTGCCGACTTTTTTGGTCCAGTATACTTGTGTGTGTTGTGGATTTGATTGAATATTACATGGAATAGTAATATCATTGCCAACATTTATAGTGTATTGAGCCTGAGGAATGGTAACGACAGGTTTACCTGTAAAAATATATGTCAAAATTGTTAGAAAATTGATAGTGGCTCTATATTAACATATGTACACAAAATATTATTTAACTGCATAAAAGATATATAGCTACAATTATATGTAGTTAGACATATAGATTCTACCACTGTATTGTGTGTGAAACGATATTTCTCCGCTTGAAACAGTTTTAAAATTTTAACATTTATAACGTAAGGTTTGCTGTGCATTTAATATATATTCAAAATTTAACTGTCGAGAGTCTTATTATAAAAGATAAGTTGGTGGAATCTGTTACTGTTATGATTTTAGACAATACGCAAACCTTAATTTCTTTTTCAATGTTTCTCTAAAAGATTGTGTTCTTACTATATGACATCATCAGGCACTGTCATCTTTTTTTTCATGATGTTGTTATAACAAAAATCAGAGGAATGTTAGATTTATTTACTTGCTTCGACAGTATAAGTTCCTTGACTACTCCCAGTCTCTGACAAAGTCTTATAAAGCTATTAATTTACTTCCTACAACAGTTAGAGTAACTTACTTCCTGCGACAGTAAGAGTTCCTTGACTACTTTGACCAGTTCCAACAGAGTTGGCAGCAAAACAAACATAATTAGCAGCATCACTTGTATCAGCTCTGATTATATAAAGTGATGGTGATGCCACTGTTCCTCCACCATATTTGTTTGTGTTTGACATGTCAATAGTAACAGTTTGTCCTCCCGAAATCTTCTGCCAATATACAGACGTGTGAGATGGATTAGCCGAGACAACACATCCAATGGTAACGTTATTTCCATAGTTGACAGTCATGGCATTCTGGGTCAAACTGACACTTGGAGTGTCTGAAAATTAATTGATAAACATGAGAAATAGGACTTTAGTTTAGTACATAAAATACTGTTTTAAAAACTCTCTTCAAAAGCTTTAAATAATTCTACAGTAATTCATCATTCACGTACACGTTTTTTTTATGTTTTACAGGTATATGCTTATCCAAGTTTTCTTTTGTTTCAACTTGAATAACTTTTGTTCCCGACATTTCTTTTGTATTTATTCATCACGTCCTTTTTCTATTTTCATCTAATACTTCAAAAGCAACAAATAAAAATATCCAAGATACATAAAAACCTTTTTGTTCTTTTTTCTTTTTTTGGCTTGATTGTGTTGTTCTGTTGCTGTTGCATTAACATGTCTCATGTCTCCTTTTGTCTTATTTAAACATGAATACTTCCAAGAACTAGTATTTTATAGTCATTTTGTTTTAAAACTCATTGCAAAGTTCCATCTTTTTTTATGAGCATGTCTTTTGTAATTGTATATCATGCTATGAACAAATCTACAATACATAATAATAATAGCGGTTGTGCATTTTCCACCTTTCTTTACAGTCAATAATTCTGTTTACCTAAAAGCAGAATATATGGAATAAACAGTAGCTTTTCTTGTTTAATAACAGCAATCCAAAGCACATGCATAACAAACTACTCAAAACAGATCTAAGCATGCAAAGCACAGCAATGTACTATGAATAAAAGCCAGAAATGGAAAATATTTGCTTTCCGAACATAATATTATCAAAAACAAATAGCTAATAATAAATTCTACTAACAGTATTATAACAAAATTCTTGCAATTCAATTATGATCATTTCTTTATCATTTATGAATATCATAGTTCAATATATATTAATGATTTTAATAGTATGTATTTTCTTACTTTTCCATTTCAACGTATTTTCAAATTTATTAATTTATTAATTTATTAATCAAGACTTGATAAAAATTAATTTGATTCATATACCAAGTGGTTATCCAGACATAATAATTTGTCATGTTTTTATTTCAAATAATGATAATAAAATTTGAAATTATATTTGAAGTAAGATTTTTAATTAAATATTTAACATTAACTTTTCTTAAAATTGAGGAAATTGCTGTAATAGAACATTTTTAATTTTCATACAGTTGCCTAATAATTCCAGAATTCTAACTATAATTCAAGATGTACTGAAAACTTCATTTTTCTTTTTCCAAACCATCTAAAGATCACATGGCCTTTCACCTCAATTTTTATCTTTTTATGCTTTCAAGTAAAACATAAAAATAATTGAATGCAATTAGAATTTTTATACTTTTAAGGGCAAATTTTCAACCTTAAATACCTTAAATACATCAAATACTATATCTACACTACAGTACATTCCATCTACAAAGCACGCTAACTTACATAAAAAAGCAAGTGAATCCATCAGGATCTGGTCGGGTCTATATGAAATGCTGTTAAACTATCAACTACATAATGGAGATACATGTACAATCAGCAATTATTATTATCATATAAAACACAAGTTAATTGGATGAATGCTGGAACCTGAAAATTGAAAAATACTCACTACCAGAGACAGCTAAGACAACCTGAGTACTTGATCCCGTCCCCACAGTGTTTGTTGCATAACAGTAGTATGTTCCTGCATCAGCAAACTGAGCATTAGAAATGGTGAGACTAGGAGTGCTAATTGAAGATCCACTGTATTTTCCTCCATTAATAGTTATTGTTTGTGTATTGCCTCCTGTAACCTTCTGCCAATATACTGAATTATGGGTTGGATCAGCAGTAACTTGGCAAGCTAGAGTGATAGAGCCATCAACATTGACAGTGTATGCTGATGTTGGTACAGTGACAATAGGTATATCTGAAACATTAATAAACATCAAATATAACAGTGCAATCTATACAAGTTTAAGAATCTAAATATTAAGTGTATACTTTTTCTACAACTATACTCTAAGTCACTGACAAATTCTAATAGGAAACTCTCTACAAGAATTCAAATATGAAATTTCATACTTTTTCTCCAACTTAATGAATGAAACAAAATTGATTCATAATTTGATAAAAAAATAAAAAAATAAATTGTCTCGATCAAAACAACAAGTTTTATCGGCAATTTGCACATTTTCCCTTTGATCTTACAGTCTAATATTTTTAAAATCACGGACAGGTCTTGCTATTCGAAAATATTAGGCAAGGACGTCATGTGCGCAAGTCAATCCGCGTCAATTTATAAATGAAATGCACACGACTTCATTCATACAACCGATCAACTATCCCAATGTTTTGTACACATTAAAGTAGTTTTACTAACTATTTCATTTTACTCCATATTCTCAACTAAAAAAACAAAAAGTTAAGATAAATTGCAGATAAAAAGAATAATGGCATTTTATTTTTTTATACCAACTTCATCAGCTCGAATATCATCTCACCCTAGCGGGCTTGCTTGATATTCTGGCTGATAAAGTCAGTATCAAAAGCAAAAATGCCGCTATTCTATATGTAGGAGATTTCCTATTCTATATGTATGAGATCTCCTATTCTATATGTATGAGATCTCCTACTTGATAAATTGACTTATTGTTAGGTGGATAAGTTGAGTGATGGTATGCTAATGGCTATTCAGATTTTCACATCACAGGCAATGATAGCTCATACTGCCTCCACATGACATTTGAACAATGAAATATAAAGTAATCTCATATGGAAAATTGTGACATTTCATATGTAAAAAAGCCATGACATCAAACCATGACAATATTTGAAATAATTTATTAAACATGATTTATAGTATATAAAACTATTAAAATATAATGATACAGATGATCAAAACTGAAATAATTTCTTTTAAGTAAATATTCAGATAACGTAGATTCTACAGGATTAAAAAAAAATAATAATAATAATAATGCTCTCTAATAATTTAACCAAAATTTATTGAATTATGCTTCTCAGTATTTTTTGTCATCAAGTGAATTATGTCCTCTTCCCAGTAAAGACTATAACTTGTGTTGAAATATAATTACAGAATCAAATACATTAACTTGGAGAAGACTTTCTAGTAAGGTCGATACTGAGAGGACAGAGATTTTATCAATAACACCATATTATGTATTCATTTTTATTCGTGGGATACCAATTTTTGTGGATTTGATGGGAGTACGTGAACCATAAAGTTAAATGTTCAACAAAGAACACATTTTCGGAAGGCTTGTGTGTAGAGTTTGGCAAAACCAGGAAATCAAGTTTACACAACAAAAAAAACCACATTTTCCCCTCAATCTGTGAAAATTGGTATCCAGGAAAATAAATGAATGAACAGGAATTAACTTTGTTACTTACTTCCAACTACATCAAGATTGGTTGTTGTACTAATTCCAGTACCGACACTGTTTGTAACTTTACATTTGTAATTTCCTTCGTCACTCTCCTCAGCATTATAAATAATAAGTGATGGTGAACTAACTGTAGAACCACCATATTTATTATTATTGGTGGTATCTCCAATGTCTACGACAGAGTTTCCATTAGTTCTCTCCCATCTGACCATGGTTGCAGCAGGATTGGCAGTGTATGAACACTGTAGTGTGATATCTGATCCTTTGTTGGCCGAGTATGATGACTGGTCTACAGTTACAGTTGGTATACCTAAGTTAAAAATCGAAGTAGTTTTTTAAGGTTTTTTTTTATTATACAGCAATCATCAAAATATATTGGTCAGACCACACCAACCACCAAGACCAGACTACTCTGGGTAAAAAAGATAAAACAAGAAGTAAATTTTAGGTGAAAATTTGTAGCCAGGAAAATTCATGTGAAATGCATCAAAGTTTTTCTAAGAATGAATAATCTAATATGTACTAGGATAGAAGTTAAAATCATCAATGAATGTATGAATTGTTTGACAAATATCAATTTCCTTAATAGCTGTAATGTAAAAAATTCTTTCGCAAATTTCAGTACAAATTTCAAATAATATGTATCTAATGTATCATGTATTAATACATTAAAATCTAAATCTGATGATGAAACAACCATTTATAATTTTCAACTGCAATTTGATTGTTTTTCTTTAACAAGTGTATTAATTAAGCTACAACAGTTTTAGACATACTTCCTACAACTGTCAAGAATGTCTGCTGGCTTTGTCCAGTTCCTACAGCATTTGTGGCCAAACAAACATATCGTCCTTCATCAGATTTCATGGTCTGACTGATGACCAGAGATGGTGAATTTACAGCACTACCAGTGTATCGACTGTTTGTCATATCGATATCGACAGCATTACCATTGTTATCAACTCTCTGCCATTTTACAGATGTATGGAAAGGGTTTGCTTGCACATTACATTGTAATGTAATTGAATTGCCTATGTTGACTGAGTAAGCATTTGATGCAACATTGACCACAGGAGCACCTAAACAAAACAATATTAATCAGATATTTATATCATGTTCAAAGTTCCAAATGTCAGTGTCACAAAGATTACTACTTGCAGTCAAATGCACCATTATTCTTAAATTTGGTACTAATTTTAAGTCAAAGCCAAAATAATTTAACAGTCAGAACATATTTTGCTGTTTTTGTAATTAATGACATTCTGCACATATAGAAAAACCAAAAATTCATCAAATAAAGAAAATGCACAGCCTTTTTGTAATAATGATTTGAGAGAATCGTATTGAGTACAAGAGTAATTGTATTTTTGCATTATAATCTCATTAAACATAACCCCTTGGTTCCACTAAAAATATGTTCAAAATTATAGTCTTCTGTTCAGGTCATACTGCTTTTCAGCTTTCCAGGTGTTCATTCTAAAATGAAATAACTAATTATTACTATATAAATTTTACCTGATCAGGTATGGTTAAAACAGTTAGGTAATTGAAGGATGTTCTATTTAAGAAAAGGTAAACCTTTGTACAATATGACTTTCACAACAGAAAACTTTTTTTAAGTTCTCTTAAACTCATGAGTGTATAACATTTTTGTGTACCTTACAATAAATAAAATGCCCTAAACTAAGTAGCTGTTTTAGCTGAGCAGGTGAAATTAACTCAGTAATATCTACTTAAAGTATTGCAACTATTCCTGTAAACAGAAAGTCACATTTTTAAAACCTTTAGGTTCATCAAATATTCTTCTATCACACTTTCAGTTTTCTGTAAATTAAATAAAGCTATGAATATTTTTTTTCTGCAAACTAAACCTACAACGGAATTCAAATAAAAAGTTTGAAAAATTTCTGAAACAAAACATTCAATTAGTGTAAATTTTCAGACCAATACATAATGTTTATAGGGCTGCAAGGTTGAATACATGTCGTTCTTGTCCATATTTCAGTTAGTTCACAACTTAAACCAATGGTTATAACCTCACCCATTTTAACATAGATTGTCTCCTATTTGAAAATGTCTTTTATTCCACAAAGGGAAAAAAAACCAATGGTATATCTTGTTTTTCACCTTACTATAAAGAATTAATAATTTTTCATATGTTTTAGTGAATTTACCAAGCGTAAACAAAGTTAAAAACATGTATTCTGAATTCTTCTGCAAAAATAGGAAAATAGGAAACAATCTATGAAATATGAGATAACCAAAACCACATCAAAGAAAAGGTGTTAAAATCTGTAGCTGATCATAATATTCACACCCTGCTATTAACATTAAAAGTGAAAGCAAAACACAGTTAAAACACCGTGACTTAGTAGCTAGCATTTGACTTACTGCCGACCACATTTAATAAAGTTTGTGCACTCTCCCCAGTACCGACACTATTTGAGGCATAACACTTATAGTCTCCGATGTCTCCGGCTACTGTGTTAGTGATTGTTAGAGATGGGTTAGATACAGATGATCCGGTGTATCTATTGCTTGACGGGAGGTCTGTAAATACGCCATTCACATTCCTTCTCCAGTACACGACTGTGTGGGCAGGATTGGCTGTAACGGTACACATCAAGGTGATTGTTTGACCGATAGTAACACTGTACTGGCTCTGACCAATGTTCACCACAGGTATTGCTGAAAAATATTAAGAAAGAGTTAATTAGGAATATATATTTATCAAAAAGTTATTTAATTGTGAGTTCCAATTAATTTTTTATTCTGATTAGTTGTATGTATCAAAAAGTTATTGAATTGTAAGTTCCCAAAAAACAATTTTATGTTTAGTTCTTTGTATAATATTTATCTCAAGTATATTTACTGGTCTTTGATCTATGATTGAAAACTGACGGTTTACCTCTATTATATCATTTGTTTTTGTTAAGTGTAGTTAGGCTGTTGCCCAATGATGTCTACCCAACATCCCCTTGTATTCATTTTTACCAAATCTCTTTTCTTACTCATTTTGTCAAAACATAACAAATTTCAAATTTGCTATGATATCTTATTGAATGTTTTTTTTTTCTTTCTTTCTTGTAAAAGAGATGCCAAACAAGTACCAATTTCCTTTTCTTCTAGTTAGCAAATCTTTTTGTATAAAAAATATCAAATGAATTATTTCTCTACTTAATCAATGTCTTACAAAATCTGAATCCAAACGGTCATATCTATTTTTTGTGGATGGGGAAGTAGAGGCATAGATTTGGCTTGATGGATAAAATGTATTCAATAAACACATATATAAGATTGTTTACTCACTTCCAACAACATCTAAGTTGACCTGTGAACTGACTGTAGTGCCGACAGCATTTGTAGCTTGACAAGTATATGCAGACTCATCAGTATTCTGGGCATTATAAATGGTCAATGATGGTACACTAAGGCTACCACCGGCATACTTTGTTGGATTGTTTGTTACATCCACAGGCGTTGATGTGCCACTAGAGCTTACTTTGTTCCAGCGTACCATGGTAGCAGAAGGTGTTGCAATAACTGTGCACTGCAGTGTGACAGAATTTCCTAGCGTCACGGAAACGGTTGTATCAACATTAACTGCTGGTCTACCTAAAAAATGGAAAACAAACCTTATTTAAATACTGTGGATTTTAGGTGCATTTCATTGTATACAATTAAACCTTGAACTATAATATTGAAGAATTAAATAACTTAGGTATATTTTTAAAATCAGCAGAAAAACTTAGAATTTAATTGCATTATATAGAATAATTGTTCTCACATATTGTGTTTATTAAAGTATATCATTCTCCTCTCGTATTTCGTATTTTGTATTATATTTTATTTCATGTACACCTTTATATTTATATGTTGTGTAACTCAAGAACATTTTGTAAAAATTCTTATTATTGGTGCATATAAAATTATTATTTTTATGTGTATGTATCCTATAAGCTGTATTGCATTTGGAATAAATCATTATATTATAACTATTTAAAGAATGAAAATTCTCTAGGTCTGTAACCTTTGCAAACCAAAAACCTGTTAAATAGGAAAAAAATTTGCAGTAAAAAAGTTGTAAAATTAACCTTTTCACTGTTCTCAAAAACAGGATTCTACTGTATATTTCACATATAATTTCTGTTTTCTTTATGAAGTTTCAGACAAGCAAAAAATAAAATAAATCTATTTAATTAGCTATGGTGACATGTTCTTGCTATCCAATATGACAAATGAAACAAACTTTCATAAAATTGTGCTAGAGAATATTTCTATAAATTTAGATTTTATTGGCTATCCTTCCCATTAAACTCCATCATGTACGTCGCTGCTTATTCTGTCAACAGAGGGAAGTTCAAAAGGAAGTCTTTTCATAACCTTTAGGCAATTTTTTAATGAATTCCAAGTAAATATGACTAATGACGATTGACTACGAAAGACAATTGAAATAAACCAAGCAATTGCAAAAGACAACATTGCTTTTATTAAAACAATCTAAATCTTGATTTTAATAAAAGTGACAAAAAATTTAAATAAAAAATTTCATTTCAAAAGGTCTGATAAGTTTATGTATATTTTTGCTAATTCTTTCTCAAGAAGACACATTCATGTGTAGACTTACAAAAATGAAAAGCTATGGTATATGAGTCTGATTAAAGTATTCACATATGAAATTTACCGGAAAGCGTACTAATAATTTAAAAGTCATCTATTTCACTTACTTCCAATGACATTGAGTTGTGTCTGTTGACTTTCCCCAGTTCCTACTACATTCACCCCATAGCACTTGTACACAGCGATGTCATTTTGATTAGCATTAAGAATGGTCAATGATGGATTACTGATGGAAACACCAGAGTATTTAGAATTATCCATTGTTGTGGCTCTGATTGTTGTTGACGCACTATTTCTGACCTTGACCCAGTAAACATCTGTAACGGCTGGAGAACCAGTTACTGTACAAACAAGTTGTACACTTTGTCCATAGTTGACATTGTAGATGTTTTGAGGAACTGTTACTTGTAGGATATCTGAAACAATTTAATATAAATTACACCATTGCACACTGACAACCTTTAAGTCTTTTTTTTTTTTATTTTGGTTATTCGAGCTTATACTTATATATATATATATAAAAAAAAGATTGTGAAGGAAAATCAGTGGTTACTTTAAATTTACACCTGTAATTATATTCTTTCAAGAATTTTTGTTTACAAGCTTAAACAAATATTTTGACCAGCAAAAACATATTTGAATAAAAATAACAAAAAGAAGACCAGAGGATGCAATTGAAATAGCAGCTATTAATGGAAATGTTTTATGTATAAAATGTAAAGCATTTAAATCTTTTTAAAAATAACTACAAATTTAACCCACCACCACCACCACCCTTTTAATACCCCTCTCAGTTTGTAACTTTGCCCTCCCAATAAATTTTAGCTTTTTATGGTCACTTAAAAAATCACAGACTTATCTAACTGGCCTTCCAATACTTACTTCCTGTGACATCAACATAACTAAGAGCACTAGATCCAGTGCCCACAGAATTTGTAGCTGTACATCTGTAGTAGCCCTCATCATTGGTGGCAGCGTTCAGTATGGTAAGAGAAGGATTCTGTAAGTTTCCGTTCTGGTACTGTGTGGAGTCACTAATATCAAGGTTAGTTTCCTGGTTATTGTTTACTCTTTTCCATTGGACAGTTGTATGGGCAGGATTGGAAGTGATTGTACAGACGACAACAACACTCTGACCAATTTCCACTTGATAATTGTCTGGTATCTGAACAACTGGTAAATCTGCAACAAAAGAGGGATTATATATATCTTTACCTTGTAAGAAAATAATTTTTCTAGTAATTAAGTAATTCATTCAACCATATCATGAAAAAGTAATAGCAACATATGCTAAAGTGAATACGAGAATAAAATCATTCCTTTGTGAGGAGCCAGGGTACACAAATTTTCATTGTCTAAAATTTTAAAAGAAAATTAATTTAGCAGTCAGTATTTTCAAAATAATTAATACAAAACATTGTAATACAGAGTGGAAAGTCAACCAACAATAATTCTTGTACATACATTAAGTACAATCTATGCATCAAAATAAGTAACAACACTTCCATTCCATAAGATAAATCATGATGAAAGTCTAAGTAAGTGCTGGTTCCAGGGGACCTAATTGAAGACCCTTATGCCCTTTCCGGTCACAATAAAGAATGTCCTTGACCTGGTTCTAAGTGACCAAATAGAAGAGACTAATACCCCTCCTGTTATGATAAGGAATGCCGATGAACAGGTTCTAGATGACCAAATAGAAGAGACTAAAACCTACCTCCTGTTACAGTAAGAAAAGTTCTTGAACTGGTCCCTGTTCCAATTGTATTTGTAGCTGCACATTCATAGAAAGCCTGATCGGAGTTTCTATCTGCATTCTTGATTGTCAGTGATGCAGAAGATACGGTTCCACCTTCATATTTTGATGGATTATTTGATGGAACAATGTTAGTCTCAACACCATTTTGTATCTTTTTCCAGCTGACACTAGTATGTGTTGGATTGGCAGAAACAGTGCAGACAAGTGTTACAGAATTACCCCATGGAACTTGGTAAGTGTTAGAAGCAATGCTGACCACTGGTGGATCTGTAAATTAAAAATAGTAGCAAACGTTTACTTTATTATTATTTGACACTCAAATCAATATTATAAACAGATTTTTATTTTTTCGACATATATATATATATATTATAAAATATCAGCTGCTGGATTAAACATGAATCTATTAAGCTTGTTTACTTTACTAGCTTGCCAAAACAGTTTCAAATTATGTCTGGATATGCAAAAAATTGTAGAGTACTGTAACTTTTGGCAATTTGGTTGGTTACCTTTTTTTATATTTTGTGTGAGGGTTAAATTTTAACTAATTCATGTTTCACATCAATATTGTTGATTTGTAGGAATTGTTTTGTCATGGAATATCTTTATGTTTTCTAAAGATCTCAAAATAAGCAAAAATAACACTCTATCGAAATTTCACCATTTCAATAAAAATAGCTGTAGTAGTCAAGACATTGTAGCAAGAAATTATACTTACTCCCTTGGACATTCAAGAAAAGTGTACCGCTCTGTCCTGTTCCAACACTGTTGGTGGCAAAGCAAACATAGTTCAAACGATCGCTCATCTGGACATTGGTGATAGTCAGTGTTGGGTTATTAACTGTAGCACCAGAGTATTTATTGTTGTCAATCGTGATGGTTGTAGCTTGGTTATTGCCATCAATTCTCTGCCAGCTAACAGAGGTATGGGTAGGATTTGCCTGGACGGAACAACTTAATGTTGCTGTACTTCCAATGTTGACACTGACCGTGGATGGAACAGTAACTTGTGGAATACCTGTAATACAAACGAATAGTCATTTACTCAACAGGCTTTTTGAACAAGCTTTTTTTTTCAATCAAAAAGATAAATTTAATAACTTGACAATGCTAAATCTTAATACAGTGAAATCTGTTGAAACAGAACTCCTTCAGGACTGGAGATTATGTTTGGTTAAGCATGTGACTGGTTTAGAATGGTTAAAATGATAAAGAATATTCATTGTATTTCTTATTACAATAGTACAGTTTACAATACAGGTTTGACTGTGAAAGATTTATCTATTGATGACATTTCTTATGGTTTGTAAAAGTTATTACATTAAAAGTGAAAAATCATTTAATTTTTTTTTCAAAATTGAAAAAAAAATCTGTGAATTAAACTATATGAACTTACTGCCAATGACATCTAGAGTTGTGGGCTGGCTGTTACCACTGCCAATGCTATTAACAGCATAACATGTATAGCTGGCTTCATCACTGGCATCCAGATTGGAGATCATAAGAGATGGACTGTTCACTGAGAAGCTGTATTTGCCAGATGACTGACCAATTGTTGTTGCTTGACCACCTACTGTTTTTGTCCAGTACACCTGTGTTGCACTAGGATTGGCTACTACATTGCAGGTCAACTCAACGTTACCTCCAAACTGACCGTTGTAGGTACCCAGAGGTATTGTAACAATTGGCTCATCTGTAAATAAATATCAAGTTAAAGAAATGGAAAGCTCTGCACACTTTGTATTCAATTAAGTATTTTTTTCAAATCTTTTGTTTGTTCTGTTTTTACCCAAAAGTTTTTATTTATGTATTTTTCATATTCTAAAGATTTGGGTTTTTTTTTAGAAGGGGTTCAATATTTAACAAAAAGTGGCAATTAACTGAGACTTTGAGATTATTTAGAACATTACCGGTATCCTTAATGAGGTTCTAATAGAATAAACAAATGTAGATATTATACATTTAAGTGATTTTCCTGAACCAATCTTTAGTATTTGATGTTGCATGTTCCTTTTGTTATTCCTCAGATCGAAATAGAGGAAGGAATTAAATCTAGATTTTTATGTCCTTTTCCCCAAGTGAGGAACTTCGTCAGAGCTTGTCCTCATTTAAATCTTTGTTTTTTTTCTTTAAAATAATTGCTAAAATTCCTGGCAGATTTTCTAAGGAGGTAATGGTCATAAAACATGATATTACCATGGAAATGTTTACATCTGGCAAAACAGGTGTCAAATCCATTTTCTTAGCTAGAGTACTGTTTTCCACATTTTTGTTCACAATACTTATCACATTGTAAGTTGACACAAAAAGTATAAGAAAAACATGAGTTTACTTTCAAGTGCACCCTTTAATTACTACAATATAGGTCTTTACATATTTATAGTTACTTACTGCCTGTAACATCAACAAAAGTAGAAGATGAGGTTCCAGTACCAACAATATTTGATGCTGTACAAATGTAATATCCTCTATCGCTTATGTCAGCATTGATAATTTGCAGATTTGGACTGTTGACCGTGGGGGTGTTGTATTTTCCGGCTACGTTACGTAAGCTTGACTGAACTCCACCATCATATCTGTACCATTGTACGGTGTTGGCAGCAGGATTAGCAGTAATGGTGCACACTAATTCTATTGTGCCATACTTCTGCACCTGGTAAGTGCTAGATCCAATTGCTACTTGCGGTATATCTAAATTACAAGAAAATTACTGTTGTAAACACTTTTTTAAACATTTCATTTTTTATTACATATTTAAGACATTTTGGCAGGTTTTTTATATTGAAAACTTTCGTAAATTGGATTTGCAAGAAATAGAAATTAAAAAAAGTTAAATGTTTCCCGTAAATATAGAAATAAGAAAATGTGGTTGGATTGCCAATCAGACATTTCCCCATTGAGACCAAATGATGAAAAGCATTTTATCAAGAAAAAATATGCAGCATTGCAGTAAGGTTTAATCAAAGTATTGAGTGATGGTTGTTGTGGTCTGATGTTATATCTGGGAATCTTGAACATTTCAATTAAAATATTTTCCAAATTATCAAAGTATTGAGTGATGGTTGTTGTGGTCTGATGTTATATCTGGGAATCTTGAACATCTCAATTAAAATATTTTCCAAATTATCAAAGTATTGAGTGATGGTTGTTGTGGTCTGATGTTATATCTGGGAATCATGAACATCTCCATTAAAATATTTTCCAAATAATCAAAGTATTGAGTGATGGTTGTTATGGTCTGATGTTATATCTGGGAATCTTGAACATCTCAATTAAAATATTTTCCAAATTATCAAAGTATTGAGTGATGGTTGTTGTGGTCTGATGTTATATCTGGGAATCTTGAACATCTCAATTAAAATATTTTCCAAATTATGGTAATCCTTCAAGCAGGTTAGACAATACATGTAAAAGTTACATTGAAGATGAGGACAGTAGTACATCTCTCCTAAGTTTTCTTCCTTTTTATCTTTCCCCTTTCCCTCATCCTTTTCTTCTTTCTCTACACTTTCTTCTATTCTATCATTCCCTCTCTTTACATGTCATGTTATTTCAAAAACATTTGAAGGGGTCTATAAAACTCTCTATATCTCTTCCCCTGACTTACTTAAAACCAACTATTGAAACTTTTCCCTTTGCCTGTCTGCTTCCCCTTCTTGAGTAAAAATAGATAAACTTACCTCCAACAACATTCAAAAAGGTCTGTATACTTCGCCCTGCTCCAACACTGTTGGATGCAGTACAAATGTAAAATGTTTCATCTCCCTGTTGAGCATTAGCAATAACCAGAGATGGTGAATTCACTGTTCCACCAGAATATTTAGCATTTTGCATATCTACATTTTGTTCCTGTCCGTTTACGATTATTTTCCACTGAATGCTTGTATGAGTTGGATTTGCTGTGACAGTACATGGTACAGTTGCTGAGCTACCATAGTTAACGGAGTACTGATTAAGTGGAATTACAACACTCGGCACATCTGAAAAACAATGAAGAAAAAAAAGATTAAAACTAAATAACTTTAGAACAATCTTCAAGCTTCTTCAGTTCATCGCTACCATTTACAACAAAAGCAGCCAAATGTATTTTATAGCATTTCATATGAACAAGGAGGTTTTTAATGGATATTACTACTATTTGTACAAATATTTACAAATTCAAATCTAAATGTTAAGGATATACACCTCTGAGGAGCCAAACATTTCTAGAATTAAACTTTTTTTCTTAACCTGATTTTTGGGTTTATATGACTGTAAAAAAATAATTGGTGAAGAAAATATCATATGGTGATGCACTTCTTTTTTTGCTACAGCCATTTGAAAGTACCCATTTTTGATGATTTTCTCGTTTTTCAACAGTTTTTACCCATTTTTGGGCTATTATCATGAAAAAAATCACAGTTTCACAATTAAACTTTTTTTCATACTTTCACTTAAGATGAAGTGGACAATCTGAATATATTTTACTTAAAAAAACTATAGGTAGGTGTTAATATAAGAAAGTTTTATAAAATTTTGTCGCTTTTTCATGACAAATTTACCATGTTGTCAATTTTGTCAATTTGGGAATTTTTACTTTTTTAAGAACAAAAAGCATATTATTTCAACTTCTTTGTTATAAATGATTGAAAAATTACATATCTAAGAAATTTGAAAAGAAAAAATTGATATGGGATGTACAAGTATCTGGTAAAATCATTTCTTGTACCCCTCACAACATTTTGGCAAATGAGACTGACTTGATTGGTTATAAAATTTGAAAATTTTATTACTCAAAAACTACTTATTGTAAATACACAATTTTTTCACAGAGTTAAGTTTGATTATAATATTTTTTAAATTCATTGATATTTTCCACTTGTTTCACATGTTTTGGAAATAATTCCAGAACGAGATTTCAACGAGACTGAAACGTCAGAAGAATACATCCTTAAAACAAATCTCTTACATTATTTTGTAATATCTGCCTGAAGAAGCCATATACATGTACCATCAAGCAGAGTATTACGGATTAAAACCAATTTTGATTAGAAAACAAATTAATATTATTTAATAAAATCTAGTAAAAGGTTAAAGTCAAGATAAAGGCTAGAAATACAAGCAGATTTGACAACATGAGGCTCCAAAGAGCTGAAATTGCTCATCTGTATCTGTACCCAATGTCAACAATGACCACTGACCATTCCTATCAAACTTATTCAATTTTCTAAAGTTTGGAATCAATTAGCCCGGCTTTTCATTGATTGTTTCAGAATTGTTCCTTGTACTTTAATAATTGATCAGAAAGAATTACTTCTAACTTTAGTGAGCTAGCACTGTTCTTCTGCTTCTAGGAATGAAAGCAATTTTTTTAATTTAGAAGACCCTCCATTCTGTTAATGCCATGTCCTGCTTTTACTTGCAAGATGAAAGTTTCTGACTTTTCCAATAAGGCTCATTGGGAAAATATTATGTGGCTTCATTGCTGCTATGTATGTGACCCAAGCAATCATAATACATTTTTAATTAAAAAATACCATAACAAGAAGTTCACATGAAAATTATACTAACTTCCTGAGACTGTGAGACTGGTCGGGTTACTAGAACCAGTACCAACTGTATTTGTAGCATAGCACCGGTAAGTAGCTATATCATTAAAGTCAGTATTAAGGATAATCAAAGATGGTGAACTGACTGTCTGTCCTTGATATTTGGCAGAATTGGTCTTTGATACGGTTATTTCACCAGCGTTGGGATATTGTCTGGTCCAAAAGACAGCGGTTTCTTTTGGTGTAGCGGAAACTGTACATCCCAAAGTTATCTGGTTACCAATGCTAATAGCATATGTACTCTGTGGTATGTTTACAATCGGGATGGCTGAAAATGGAAAAAATATAACTTGGGTTATGATTCCCTATGAAAACTCTGTGGTACGTCCCCAAGTGAAAGAACTGAAAATGCTAAAATGGTTATACACAACATTAAAATTGTTACATGTGTAAAAAATCAGTGATTGGATTAGAAAGAAATTTCATATTCAATCTATAAATTAGATTAAGATACATTTTTAACTCATTTGTGACACAGAATCATTCAGATGAATTAACACAAAACTTGTAAAGTATTGAAATGAAAGCTTCAAGTGACCTTTTGACAATGATTAGCATTTTTTTAATTCACTCTTTGTAATAGTAATTTGTGGATTTTCCATGTTATAAATATTATCTTTCTAATCTTATAAGCATTACAAGTCATACTGTACATATATTTTTTTATGGTTATGGTTATTACATTGTGTTTTCAAGTATGTCTTTTAACAGTTTTTCATCTTAAGTTACACATTCTATGATGAATAATGGTATAATTTCCCCTTCTCTAGTACTGTTAAAATTACCGGTAGTATTGCAATTTCTTTTAATTAAAATACTTCAAATACTTTATCATTTTAAACTGTTAAATAGGAAATAGTGTATATTAAAACAATACTAAGGATTTTCTACCCCAGGAATAGATAACCTAAGCTGTATTTGGCAAAACATTTCAGAATTTTGTTGGTACTTTATTTGGCCTTTATTGATTCAAGGCTCACTGATGAGTCTTTTTTATACGAAACGTGTGTCTGGAGTTGAAAATTTTAAGTTGGTATTTTTGATGAATTTATTAATTATATATTTAACTAACCTCCAGTGATATCTAATGTTGAAGTGCCAGAACTACCAGTGCCTACAGCATTTGAAGCTGAGCATACATATCTTCCTGCATCACCTGATACCGTGTTCAATATAGTCAAGGAAGGGTTTCCTACAGTTGATCCTTGATATTTCTGGTTATTATTGGTTGACATATCGATTGCTACTAACTGATTTTGAGTATTATATTTTGACCAGAAAACTGATGTTGCCGCAGGGTTAGCATTTACTGTACAGGAAAGTGTAGCAGTTGTTCCAAGAGTAAACTGGTGTGTTGCTGGTGTAGTCACAGCTGGGATCTCTGTTAAATAGTATTAAACAAAGAAAATTAGTCAAATGGAAAAATCTACCAGTAAATATATGTATTGAATACATAATATTAAAGTAAAGTCTACATTAAGGATGATCACAAAAATGGATTGACGACGGGTAACGGTTTCTTGTATGTATTTTTCATCTAAAGTCAACAATGTTTTTTTTTTAATAAGGATCTATGAAAAGAACTAGGTATTCCATTGTCGGTACCATTTTGTTACAAAAATTTTAAATTTTGAGTTGTAAATCCGAACTATCATGAAAAGGAATTCTATAACATAAAGACATAAAAGTAATACCTCCAAGGACTCTGAGAAAAGTCTGACTGCTCTGTCCAGTTCCAACATCATTATCAGCAAAACATTGATAAAAGGCTTGATCAGCTTTAGTGAGACCAGATATGGTCAGAGATGGGGACCCGACAACAGACCCACTGTACCGTGATGCAGCTGTATCAATATTTTGTAAGACTCCATTACTATCCAGTACTTTCCAGTATACTCTGGTTTCTGATGGGTTGGCTGTTACAGTGCACCCCAATGATACCGACTGTCCGAAATCTCCCTGGAATTCTGTCTGGGTAACTTGTACAGTTGGGACATCTGTAATGAAATGGCATTAGTTTATTAAAAGGGTTACAATTTACTTACTAGGTTTTATCAACAGGAATATCTTATGTTTTCCATAAAATTTTATAATGCAATTTTTTTTTCTGATTTCCATTTAAATGAATGCTAAGACATTTGATAAATATTTCAGAGCTAAAAAATTTTTTTTTATCTTTTTAATTACTAAAAATACAGAAGACAAGATCTTTTTCTAAAAATTATATTTAAAATTATTAACATATTGCTACATTCTTTCTTTTCATATTAATGGCATTTGGCAAAATCAGCTACTTGAAAAAACAAGCTTCGTCATATGTTACACTACTTAATATAAATAGTACAATACTAACTACATTTTGGGACTAATAAAAGTTTCCTGTTTTTAATTTAGAGCTCCTAGTGATCCTAACTTGAAATATATCTCCTAGTACCCACTGTAACAACTTACTTCCAACGACATCTAAGAATGTTTGACTACTTGCTCCCTGACCAATGGCATTAGTAGCTGTACAAATGTATGATCCTTCATCTGTGAAGCTAGCCTGGCTGACAGTAAGACTTGGAGAATTGACTTCTGAACCTGTCAATCTGCTTCCACTACCAGGAGCACCAACACCTGTGACATCCTGAGAAACACCATTTACAATTCTCTTCCACTGGACTACAGTATGGCCTGGGTTAGCGTTGACCACACATTGCAGGGTGGCTGTCCCCCCTACTGTCACTTGGTAGCTATTGGATAGTACAACAACTGTTGGCAAGGCTGTAATTTAAAATGTAAAGTATTCAAATTTACTATTTAAATACAATACAGAAACAAGAATGTGTCCATAGTACATGGATGACCCACTTGCACTATCATTTTTTATGTTCAGTGGACCTTGAAATTGGGGTCAAAACTCTAATTTGGCATTAAAATTAGAAAGATCATATCATAGGGAACATGTGTACTAAGTTTCAAGTTGATTGAACTTCAACTTCATCAAAAACTACCTTGATCAAAAAGTTTAACCTGAAGAGGGACAGATGGAAGGACGGACAGACCGAAAAACATAATGCCCCTCTACTATCTTAGGTGGGGCATAAAAATAGACTATAAAAAAATCAAATGGTGACTTAATATTAATAAATTTCTAATTGCTTTTAAATACTGTATATTCAAAAAATTTCTTGTGTGCATTTGTTATTGTAACAATTGTTGAACAATTGACCAAAATGAAAGATTAATTATTACAATTGTTGAACAATTGAGCAAATTGTAAGATTGATCCTTTCAAATTGTTGAACAATTGACCAAAATGAATGTAAGATTAGTTATTACAATTGTTGAACAACTGACCAAAATGTAAGATTAATTATTACAATTGTTGAACAATTGACAAAAATGTAAAATTAATTATTGCAATTGTTGAACAATTGACCAAAATGTAAGATTAACTATTACAATTGTTGAACAACTGACCAAAATGTAAGATTAATTATTACAATTGTTGAACAATTGACCAAAATGTAAGATTAATTATTACAATTGTTGAACAACTGACCAAAATGTAAGATTAATTATTACAATTGTTGAACAACTGACCAAAATGTAAGATTAATTATTACAATTGTTGAACAATTGACCAAAATGTCAGATTTATTATTACAATTTCAGGAAATTTTGCATAGAAATAATGCATTAGAACTTTAAAATGTGAGTTTTATTTTTGTGAAGCCTATCCTGTCACAATTTCACAACAATTTACAGTACCAAACACTTATATTAATGTAATATTTCACACTTTTTAAATGATTATACCTTCAGATAAAATACAAGACAAATTTGTGAGAAAATTAATTAACACAATTAGATCAGTCAATGCATATAATGATAAAGTACTTTAATTATGTAACTACTTTTAACAGGGTGCTAACAACTTTGACTACCCATGAGAGGGTCTCAAATGGTCAGAACTATGTAACTACTAAAAAAAAAGAAAACACTACTTTTTCATTAGACACCCCTTAAAACAAATCTGTTTAATTTTAAAAAAACCCAACTTTAGATCAACATGGAATGTGAAATAGATGTATGTTTTTTTTATTAATATAATGACATTACATCAACAGAGAATATCAAAGAGATGAATAAAACTCCTACAGTTATATCTTACCTCCTGAAACAGCCAGGTTAGTTTGCTGACTCTGACCGGTGCCAACACTATTTTGAGCAAAACAAATATATGATGCAATGTCATCTAAATTAACATTTGTTATGACTAAACTTGGACTGTTGACACTAGAGCCGCTTAATCTAGCATTATTAGAAATGGCGCTGGCATCAATTGTAGTTGTGACTCCTCCTTTTATTTTTTGCCAGTATACAACACTGTGTGTTGGATTGGCTGTTACAGTACAGCCTAAAGTGACAGTATTGCCATAATCAACATTGTATTGGTTCTGTGTCACAGTGACAATTGGGATATCTGTAAATAAACAAAGGTATTTAATACAGTGCAAAGTCTAGTTTCAATAGGATGGATAACTAATCCATTTTATGCTTTGAAATAAATATGTATTGAATTATACAGATTTTTTACATACATTCTTAACCAAATGACCACTAAAAATTCAGAATTATATGAAAAAACATATTAAATAAAAAAACATTTATTTATACTTAAAAATTCAATTCACGTCTATATAGATTCTACCACTGCATCGAGTGTGATACGATATTTATCCACTCGAGACAGTTAAATTTTCAAATTTAAAAAGCAAGGCTTGCCGAGCGTTTTAAATATTTAAAATTTAACTGTCTCGAGTGGATAAATATCGTATTAAACGAGATTTGGTGGTGGAATCTGTTTCTCTAATGATTTTCAAACAGGATGCAGGCAAACTTCTTCCTTCTTTTTGAATGATCTGCAAACAGATGTGTTCTTTCTATGTGACGTCATCAGGCATGGTCGTCTTTTTTCATGCCGTCACAATAGGAAATTCAGAGGAAAGCAAGAAAATTCTACGTCATAGTCGGATTTTTTAACCAATGAAGAACTGAGATCAAACGAACCACACGTTGATTAATTTTTTTTTATACAATGGGTGCAGAAAGGGATAAATTGACGAAGAATTAGAGAAATATCAATACACATTTCATGACTTACTGCCAGAGACTGTTAAAACTGTAGTAGAACTGGATCCTAATCCGACACTGTTCTGTGCATTACATATATAACTTGCTTGATCGTCCAGGTTAGAATTGGTTATAGTAAGTGATGGGCTGCCGACTGTAGACCCACTGTATTTTCCACCACTGTTTGCTACATTTATATTTGTGGTGATACCATTTTTATTTCTGGTCCAATATACACTGGTATGGGATGGATTTGCAGTAACTGTACATCCAAGAGTCACTTGCTGACCAAAATCAACACTGTAGTTTGGTAGAGTAACAACAACATTTGGTGGCTCTGAAAAAAAATATGAGAATGAAAAATAAATTCAATTAAAATTCAGTAACTTTGCTTTTTATGTTTACCTTTGAAAGGATTTCTTTTTACATACACAGAAAGATTTTTATACACTTACCTCCTTTGTAACTTGTTTTTCTTGTCAAGGTAGCATCTTAGTAAAGAGTAAATTATGTAATTTGACATAAAACCCAAACCCCATTCCCTTCATATGGCAACTCTCAAAACATTTCAAAACAGAGTAATTGCATAAAAATTGTAATTAATCAGATCTGATTCAGGATTTTGAAAAATGGGGGCCCACAAATACAGCAAAGTTAGGAGCGGATTTGGAAAAAGACAATGCATTAACCATATATGTAGCTCCATAAAGAAGGGGGAACCCCTAAATCTGCCTCTGACTATGGACATGGTGTGTACAAATTAAGCTATGTTTATAAATAACCCAATTACACATTATACAATAAATACATGCAGATAACTTACGTCCAGATACTTGAAGAGTTCCTTCTTGACTGTTTCCTGTTCCAATACTGTTAGTAGCGAAACAAGTGTACTTTCCTGCGTCGCTGAAATCAACATTCTTGATCACAAGGGATGGAGAGGTAGTTGTTGATCCACCATATTTAGCAGTGTTTGAGTTTGCGCTTATAGTGGTAATTTGATTACCACTATTCTCAAACCTCCAGTATACATTAGTTGCACCTGGATTGGATATGACATTGCAACCAATTGTAATGTCATTTCCTACTAATACTGGGAAGAGCGTAGTCGACAGGGTAACAGTTGGTACATCTAAAGTAAACAAATATATACATTGGAATTTTGCCTCTTCTTTTCATCCACTTGATGACATTTCAATATTCATGTAAAAGTTTCACTGTTAAAAGTTATCATTGATACTTAATTGCAAACATATTCTTAAAAAAAATATGAATGTGTATCCATTTACACCAGAATTAACAAATAAAACAAATTATTAAGACAAAATATTGAAAAGTTTAAAATTTAAACATTTAAATTAGATTTTTATTAATAACTGAAAGCTGAAATAAAACAAACATACTGTTAGTTATTTAGCAAAAAATCATTTTAATAAAACTTGTGCAAGCTGGTAGGCACACTCAATAATATCAAATGGAAAATAAAGTCAATGACAGCCATTCAATATGACAGCTTCTTTATTCCTAATAGAAGGTCGGGTCACATGGTACAATTGTAGCATGTTAACAAAAAAATTGAACGCTGTTTTGTGAAGAACACAGTATTCTTGTTTATAAGGAGAACTTGATGAAGAATGTCTTCAAAAGTTATAAACCCTCAAACTTTGGCTAAAATCACAATCGCTATCACAAATTTTGAAAAAATATCTTGCAGGGATTTTTAATAAGTAATTTGAAGGCAAGAAAAAGGGGATCAATTTAATTAAAAAATATTGCACAGAAATAAAATTTTAAAGGAAAACAGCACCATTCCAGAATATTACCTCAAAAACTTTTAATCTGATAAATATCTCTGATAAAATTCATTTTCCAAAATTTTGATTGCAAATCTGTAAATTTCATGATTTTTATTCTGGCCCTTTAAGTAATCCTTCAGGTTTTCTTTTGATAAATTAAGACTGTTATTTTCCACTGTGCTTTCATACACAAAATCACAGATTAACAGTTATACAATCACATGATAAAAAAACAAACACATTGTAAAATCTACTTCATATAAAAGTGTGCTGAAAATCATAAATATAAATATAAGTTCTTCAAGGGGAAAAGATTTACCCCTTAGCGATTATGTATCATTTTTCTACTAATCTACTAAGTTATACATAAAGCATGCATTGAAGCAATGTAAATCAGCCACAATTTTGCAATTAAAGCACTTTGGTCAATGGCATTTGCAAGTATTATTTACTTATTATATATTTCAGATTTTAAGTACTTTTAGTAATTTAAAAAATGAGGTATGGGGATTGCTAATGAGACAACTATCCACAAAAAGCCAAAGGCAAGGATATGAACATCTACAGTTCACCATACTGGCTTCAACAACGAGAAAATCCATACCATGTATTAATCTATAAAAGGACCCTAGATAACCAGATGTAAAACAAATCAAAAGAGAAAAAACCAATAGCCTGATTTATGTTAAAAATAATAAATGAAAAGCAGAAACGGATCTCTATAAATTCTAAAGTTATTGTTACTGTATTTAGTCTATATAGAATTGACTTTTTTAATAAATAATAATTGTTAAGATCAATGTCTCAAGCTGAGTCTTCCTATTAACTTAGTTTCTGGACAAAAACTGCTCCATTCAAAGGATTAACTGTTCAGACCTTCCAGTTTCTTATATTTTAGACACAACGTTCATGTATTAAAATAATCAATTATTGAATGAGATGAAACTGAGCTATCATCAAAACAAGAAAATCCATCAACTAGACCTAAAAAACATTTTCTGCTTCTGATTTTATAGTCAGTGTTAAGCTTCAAATCCGCCATCTTTTAACTCATACAAACCAAAGTATCAGCAAATCAGACCTTCATAAAAACTCAAAGTTTTTAAGTGCAGGTTAACATAGTTAAGATTACCTTTAGTAGGCTTTACCGCATTTTACAAGTTACATAAAAAGACCACTTTCAAAAACTACACAAAAATAAGATTATCCCATTTAAAAATATACTGTGAATAAGTAAACAAGAAGGATAATTCTTACACCAAAGCCAACAACAATTTTACAAGTATGGTAAATATTAATGGCCATTATAAACAAAGTGCTTCAAGTACATACATGAGGTTTTAATATTAATTGGAATTACCAGCAATAAAAATAATATTATTTCTGCATGTTTTACTCATATACAAAAAGTATTGAACTGAACTAAATTTTTGTTTTCAAGACCATCTTTGGTGCTTTTTAAATTTATTAGATATCAAGTTAATAACAAAACCTCATGTGTTGTGGACAGCTTCAAGAAACATGCTATTCATGCCATCTCCACTGTTCCATAAAATTAGGGAACAAATTAACCAAATGTTCTTTGGATGATAAAAATAGAGTAAAATTCAAAAAGGCATTGTTATTTGATCAAATGTTCACAGCTAAAAGCATGTATCTTACACCCTTATAATTAAGTGATGCAGAAAGCATATTGAAATATATATTACCTTTCAAATAGCATTACGCTATAGAAAGAATACAAATAATCATTGACAAGAACAAGCATTACATCATACATATATACTATCAGAAACCTAGATGATACATCATTGTACACAGTATTCATTTTTGACCACCATTATCTACTGGTGATTCATGAATATTCATTTTGTACCTATCTTTATGGATTTCATTGGGTAATGGTGAACCACAAATGAATTGTTGTAACAAAAAACAAATTTCTTATTGGTTGGTATACAAAATTAGTTAAAAGCAAGAAATTATGAATCAACGAAATTACATATTTTCCTCAATCCACAAAGAATGGTACCCATGAAAATAAATGAATCTACAGTATTAAGTATTCAATTGAAAGTCTTTAAATGCAATCAGTTGTATAGTATATATTATTTTTTGATTTATATATTGATGGTATCTTTTTTTAAGTTCAATCAATCTTATGTCTGAGTCCATTAAATCCAAACCATCTAAAACAGCAAAATGAATTATATCAATGTCTTACTGATGGTCTAAATCATCAAATAAATGTACTTGTACATAATTATTCATAAAAGGAATATATTTGACAAGAAGAAGAAAGTCTCTTTCCTCTTGTAAAAGTACTAATATATTTTACATTTATAACAGATTTTTAGAGAAATCAGAACAATATACTCAAGAGTCTGATGGAAGGACCTTATTTTGAAAAGATATTGTAGAGTTGTATACATTTCATGGATTATGATAAAATCATCGTTTTGAATTGATTTTTAATTTTCATTTATAACTACAAATGTACAACAAAATGTACCTGCAAAAAAAATAATTATGAGAGTATTTAATTTACATGATATATAATATATAATCCATGAAAATTGTATTCTACAGACAATAGTAACTTGAGAGTAACATTGACTACAAGTCTGTTAAGATTTAGATTTGGGTGTGACATATATCGTAATTCCAGTGTGTTTAGACATGGCTACTGTTGTGATAATAACGACACACTGAAGTGATATTAGGAGATGAAGGGTTCTAACAGGGATATCATCTACGTTGGAGGATTTACTTACTACCACTGATTATTAAATTAGTCGAGCTGCTTTGTGCTGTTCCTACAGCATTCGTAGCCCAGCAGACATAATCCCCCTCATCATTTGTACCAACATTAGATATAACCAGGGAAGGATTATTAACTGATGATCCGCTATATTTGTTTGTATTGGTCATGTCAATGTTTGTTGAGGTCCCGCCAGCATGGCTTTTTGTCCAGTATACATTAGTGGCAGCAGGACTTCCAGTCACAAGACATGTAAGGGTGGCATTGGTGCCAAAGTCATTCTGGTACTGACTTTGGGGAATAATGACAGTCAATATATCTGTGTGTAAGTAAATAAGTACTTTGTTAGGAGTAATTAAGAGTATTTTGATATATGTGAAGACCTAGCTGCAATTTGTGCCAAAAATTACTTCTCAGCATGATGAGTATTCTTAAAAGAGTATGATTAGCTGGGCATATTTTTGCATATTTGTGATACATTTTTTCTATTTTTGGCGTAGCTACGGAAATCTGAAATTGTATCATCTCAATTATGTCACATTAACAAAGGCAACAAAAACAGGAAGCTTTAACAAAAAAAAAAAAAAAAAAAAAAGATGCATTAGTTTACAAACATTCAAGGTCTAGAAAATCAATACCATACACAATTTCTTGATACTAATACATTGATTTCGTTAGAAACATGCAATAAAGCCAATAATATCTTTTTATTTTATATCTATATTTATCAATCATAATTATTGATCTAATATTTTACAGAGTAATTTGTGGATGAAGTGATCATCCAATTATTACCTGTGTAGAACTGGAATGGACAATTTTAACTGTAGAATGGTTGAAATATAAATTAATGAAGATATTTAACATTTCTATGTATATTTTTTAAATCAATAACCCCAAAATCGAAGTCAATGCCTATGTTATCTAACTAATAAAAAAGTCAGCCATGCATACTGATCAATCATATACTAGTACTGAACTTTTCTATTGACATTCCCTGAACTAGGACAATTTTAAGAAATGAATGGTTAGATAATTAAAAACTTGCAAGTCAAGATAAATCTCAAATTATCAAGCAGCATGCTTTTGTCAAAGAACTCTTTTTTCTTTTGAAAACATACCTCCTAAGACATCCAAAAATGTTTGTGAACTCTGAGATGTTCCTACAGAATTTGTTGCTGAGCAGACATAATTTCCTTCATCAGCGTTTGTAGCACTGAGAACTGTAAGTGATGGATTGCTGACGGTGGATCCACTATACTTATCAGATTTGGATATATCCACACTAACAGGGTTACCATTAACGATTCTATACCATTGTACCGTTGTATGTGTAGGATTGGCTGTTACTGTACACTCCAAAATAACAAAACTTCCATGGTTAACTGTATAGACAGACTGCTTAACTCTTACAACAGGAACACCTGGTAAAAAATTAGTTTTGTTGAAACATTGTTGAATAATCAAATTGGAATCTTCAAAAATAGAGAGGAGACTACTAGGGGCCTTTGTTTTACATCCTTTCTCCTGTCCAGAGAAAACAGTCCAGAGAAAATGTCACTTTTACCATTACAATTACATTTTTTGACTCTTTTAAAGATTTATGCCAGCATTTATCATGTCAAATCTTTGATAACCATTATAATGAGATAAATTAATGTCATTTCTACAGTCTGCACATGATAAGGTAGAATATAATCAGCAAAACAGTAATGCATTATTAGGTCAAAGTTTTTCACATTTATTTTTAATTTACTAGTAAATCAAACCACTTCAAAATAATAGCACAAATGAAAATAATAGTAACCTTACATAAAATCTACATACCTCCAGTGACTTCCAGATTTACTGGCTGACTGTTTGAAGTTCCTTCAGCATTAGTGGCAGTACAAACATATGTGGCTTTGTCACTTTGATCAGCGTTATTAATCGTGAGAGAAGGTGATGTAACGGTAGATCCTCCATACTTCCCATTGCCATTAGACACACTGATATCTGTTGGTACACCCTGGATGTACTTCTTCCATACAACAGCTGTAGCACTAGGTGTTCCGCTCCAGGAACATATCATCTGTATACTGCTCCCCTGCTGGACTGTGTATTTAGCTTGTGGTACACTGACAGTCAGCAAACCTAAACACAGGGCGAAAAATAATTTTGATTTTGGACATAAAAGCAGACAATATAAAATTCTGTGAATCTGTATTCATTCATTACATCATCAATAAAACATTATACAGAACGTCCTGATAATGTTAAAAACATAGCTTCATCTTGTCAGTAACTGTATATCACAATTGTTTATACATAAATACATTAAGTGCGAAAATGTCATGGTTGCAGTAAAAGAAATTCTGACTTTAAATGTTCCTTACCTCCAATGACGTCAAGGAAAACAGAAGCACTTTGACCCGTTCCAAGACTATTGGTTGCTGAACAGACATAGTTCCCTTCATCATTCTTTATATTGGCATTTGTTATGGTTAGAGATGGACTATCTACAGTAGAACCTGAGTATTTGCCATTAGAACTGGCAACATTTATCAGTGTATCCACACCATTTATGGTTTTAGTCCAGATAATGTTGTTAGCTGAAGGAGTAGCAGTGACCTGACACTGAATGGTGATGGTCTCTCCATAAGATACAGTATAGGGAGGGTTTAATATCACTACTGTGGGGATATCTGAAATATAAATATTTTATTAAATAATGAGACTAAATTAATTGGGTATATATATTGACAAATTCTAAATTATTTCCAAACTAATAAATGAAATGGTTTGAAATGATATCTTCATCTACAATTTAACAAAAGTAAAACTTTTTGCAAAGCTTTTTTCGTAGATTCAAATCTCCAAAAAATCAAATCAAATAATATATAGTTGACTTAAATACTGTTTTTAGAATATTCTCATATATCAATTTCATATTTATATTTGTTTAATTTCTGGTTTACATGTGTTATAGGGATACAATTAATCCAGTTCAATAGAATAATCAGTTCTATAATTGAAAAACGAAGTCCCATGCATTCCCTACTGATGTCCTTTAATGAATATTTTACCATCACAACATGTAACTATGTGTTCTTTGGAATTAAATTTGATAGTTTTGTTAACCATATGATGTATATAAGAATATGAATACCTACCTCCAATAACATTAAGATTCGTTGTTTGACTCTGAGCCACACCTGCAGCATTCGTAGCAGTACAAATGTAATTAGCATTGTCTGTTTCCCCAGCATTATGTATGGTTAGTGATGGTGTAGCCACTGTGGCTCCAGAATAATGACCATTACTGCTGGCAACATTTATATCCTGTGTAACACTTCTTCCAACTGTTATCTTTTTCCAAAGAACAGAAGTGGCAGCTGGGGTACCAGTTACTTTACAGACAAGTTGTATGTCCTGACTGGCAGGTACAGAGTATTGGTTAGATGGAATTGAAACGGTAAGTAAACCTACAATGGAACAATCATACAATTAATATATAATGTGTTTTTTATGTTTGGGACTAAGTTTAGATAACTGATCTAATCATTTATATGTATTTGACCATTACAGAAACTTTAAAGAATTAGATACTTTATTGTGCCCTTATAAAATGTTTTTGCTTTTTGACAGATTTTGAGTGGATTTTTAAATTCTTCACTTTTGACCTTCATTTAGTCTTAGACAGTAATCTAGAAGAACAAACATTTTTAGTAAAAAAAAATTCAGATTTAAGATCTTTAAGCATCAAAAGCAACACATGTATACATAATGTTTTCCATACAAATAAATGAAAAAGACAAATGAAAAACAGCATGCTTTTTAAATGCTAATAACATATGGTTGACATTTTTTCTCGTTCGATTATATCAGTTAAATAATATTTATCAACATACCACCAATTACATCCAAGAAACTTGAAAAACTTTGGCCTGTCCCAATAGCATTGGTAGCTGTACATATATAATTTGTCTCATCAGCCGAAACAGCATTGTTTATGACCAAATCGGGTGAGTTCAAAGTAGATCCAGAATATTTCCCACCAGAGTTTGCTATATCTATATTTTGTAGGACTCCTTGGTAAAATCTTTTCCATTGGACAGAAGTATGCAGTGGATTAGCTTGTATAGAACATGGAATTATAACATTCCCGCCAAAATCAACTGAGTATGTACTGGCTGGAATCTGCACAACAGGAACATCTGAGGTAAAAGAAAATATTTGGTTATGGAAAGCATTTTGTCTGTTATAAAAGAACATTACAAAAATAGGAAAAAAGATTAAAAAAAAAATATGGATACAACTTCTCAGCCTTTAACGCTAATTGCTACTGCAAAACTTATGCATTATATGTGCTTAGACATAATCTTACTGAAAAATGTTTTAAATAATAAAGTGAGCACTGGATCGAAAAAAGTTTTTTCACATTTTTTTCAATTTTTTTGAAATTAATCTAATTAATTAACAGTCAAACAGTGAATGAGTAAATGTCAGATTAACTTACTTCCAAATACATTGAGAAAAGATTCTTGGCTGGATGAGGTGCCCACCACGTTTGTAGCTGTACACTGATAGTTTGCTGAATCTGATTTCTGTGCATTATTAATGGTTAAAGCAGGTGTAAGTGTTGACGACCCTGAATACTTTCCTCCACCACTAGCTATGTCTATATCAGTGGTAATGGTATTCTGAATCATTCTCCAGCGGACTTGTGTTGCAGAAGGAAGACCAGATAATATACATGGGATGGTTATAGAGCTGCCGACCTGAACACTGTAGGGGCCTGTTGGAATGGTCACTGTCAGCAAACCTGTAATTACAACAAATTATTCTGTTATCTACAATTAAACAAAAGATAAATGATTCTTATATGTACTTAAACATCAGGAATTAGTCCCCCTCCCTTGAAATTCTCAGAGTTTCCCTATAATACCTCTCTTTAATTGTCACCATTCTTAATCAATTTGTCACCATTCTTAATCAATTTTCATTTTATTTGAATTCCACTTCAGATAAATCAAAAAGGTTATAAATAAAGGCTTCAAATATTGCAAATTTCAGCTTCTTATCTAAGACTGATATTTTATGACTTTCCATTCTACAAAAGCTTTTTAAGAGTATGAACATTATTTTCACCATGGCAATCAAATTATCATGTTTATATTGGAAAATTTGAACATTTCACAACCTCTCTAAAAATGCAATTGTAATAAGTTACAAAAATTATACCTCCGACAACATCCAGAACTGATGATGAACTGTTCCCAATCCCAATACTGTTAGCAGCACTACACACGTAACTCGCCTCATCATCCAGATTAGCACTGTTAATAACTAATGATGGAGAACTCACTGTAGCACCACTATATTTCCCTTGAGAGGCTGCAATGTTGATATTAGTTGCTGTTCCACTTTTAGTTTTTATCCATGTCACGACTGTATGAAGTGGTACAGCTGTTACAATACAATCTAAAGTGATTGAGGTACCATAATTTGCAGAGTAAGAATCTTGTAATATCTGTACCTGAGGAACAGCTAAAAATTAAAACAGTATCACAATTATATATTTGGTACATGGATTTGATGCATGAACCTTTTTTAACAAAAAGTTATATATTTGGTACATTGATTCTATGAACTTTTTTTTAACAAACAGGTTAATAAATTTTTGTTGTTTTGTCAAATTTAAGAAAAAAATTGAGAGTGTATTTTGTACCCAAAACTCCATCAGAATTTAGATAAAAAAGTAACAATATTTGTTAAAGCTTTGTTGCATATGAACCTCTAGCAATGTAAAAATTCTCGCTACTTTTTGAAATTTTTTCCTGTGTTCTGAGAATAGCTAAGTCATGTTTTTCATGCTGGATTTTGTGCAAATTTAGCTATAATTCTTAGGTCAAATAAATCCTAATGCACTTGTCCTTTGCCATCAATAACAGTATCATTTTCACAATATTGGTTTTGTCAATAATACATATAAAAAAATCTTACTTCCTGTCACATCTAGAGATGTTCTATCACTGTATGCCCGTCCTGCTGCATTAGTCGCTGTACAGATATATTCAGCCTTGTCATCATTGATAGCGTTCGTGATTGTTAGTGAAGGGCTGGACACAGAGGCACCAACATATTTTCCGTTACTTCCACCAACATTAATATCCACTGGTACATTATTTGTCACTTTCTGCCATGTGATGAAACTGGCTGATGGGATACCAGACCATGAACAACCTAATGTGGCTGTGTTACCAAGGAGAACAGAATAAGACGTCTGAAGAACAGTCACAGTTAACAGACCTAGAAAAACCAAATTATTTCCCTCATTAACCTCTGTACATTGTTTGTTATTGTTGACATCCATAAAGTTTTTCATTTGACATTGTTATCTTTATGTTTCCTACCTTATAAATTCCTTTATTTCAAACTATGGCAATAAAACTAAAGCTATTTCAGTTATCTTTTTTCCCTGTAAATTACACTTTTCCTTCCATTTGAAGTTGATCTTAAGTGAAATAAAATGAATTTATATATTTTTCTTTACCTCCAGCTACATTTAAAACAGTCCCAGAACTGGATCCCAGTCCAATGCTGTTGGCAGCACTACAAACATATGTAGCTTCATCATTCTGAACAACTGATTTTATCGTTAGTGAAGGTAAACCTATTTGGGATCCAGAATATTTTGCAGTATTAGACAGATCGACGTTTTCTGTACTGCCACCTGGTGGTGTTTTAGTCCAACTGACAGTGGTGTATACAGGATTAGCCACTACTGTACAGACCAATATGATAGAGCTGCCATAGTCAACACTATAGCTCGGTGCACCTATCGTAACAACTGGCTTACCTGAAAAATTCAAATCAACCAATCAAAATGCATGTCTAGATATAATCTTGGAGTAAACTGGCAACTCATCTCACAAAATTCACACTGATTTAATTAATTTTTAGTAAAATATCATTTACTGGATTCTTGCTACTAAAGAAATGCATTTTTGTTTTCTTTAACAATAACTAACAATTTTTACATTAAATCTCCTTGACACATTATATCAAAATCTAACCATAGCATTATTAAAAGTAAATTAGTTTTAATTTCTTTAAATATTTTGTCAATAAATATATAATAGCTTAACTTTTATGTCATTAATCTTTAAAAATCCTTCTTAAACAAATAGAATACAATTTTTTATATTTGAATTTAAAAGTATATAAGATATTTCTATGAATGCACTAAAATCTGAAACATGAGCGACAATAAACTATCCAGTATTAAACAAGACTATTTCTTGTATTGCATTTATTATACCTTTCCAAATACATTAATTGGTAAGCAAGAAGTAACAAATAAAGACAACAAAGCAAGAGGTATATAAAATGAGAAAATACAGAAGAGGATAAAATTTCAACGCATACTCATGATATTAACCCGTTAGAGGAAACCCTTGTCAAGATTTATAAAACTATCTGGTGTTACATTTCTATTTTGTTTATATTAAACTTTTTTTATCCAATTTGTTGAAACAGAGTTATTTGCATCCCATTCTGGATGCCTTTATGGGAAAAACACTAAAATGCTAATGTAACAATCCCTCTCAATCTAAAGAAATAAGTTAATTGGTGATAGATTTACTTAGTAGAATCTCATACATTGTTCAGGAATAGCAATGACAAGAAGAATTCACACGTTTTCATGCTACTAAGCACACCCCCACTCAATATTCAAAGTTACGGATAAAACAGGAAGCAGGTATCTGGCAGATGAGATAAGCGCTCACATGTTACAATTTGTCAATGTCAAGCTGCTGACCAAATATGAAATTATTCTGTTCACAGTTTCTTCAAAAAGTGTGATGGTAATATTTGTTAAACGAACAGACAGACAGACAAAGTGATTGCATTATAGCCCCACTCCTAGAATGGAGATATAATAAAGAAGGGATATGTGTTGGATTTTAAAATCACACCATTAAATAATACAGAATAGTAAAATCTCTTTAAGGTTGTTCTTCATCTAAAGTTTGAAATGTTTCTGAATTCTTATGGTTATAAAAATAAATAATTCATATTCTCTGCCCATTAAAGTATCATAGCCTAACCCACGATCTGCGATCCCTTAAGAAGATGTTAATATTGTAGAATGATCTCAAGTTGTTGTTATTCTATGGAAAAAAAACTCCATTTTTTGATATTTTTTTTTATATTGAAGATGTTAGCAAAAAATCTTAAAGCAGTTAATTAGATAAAAAATTAATTCTAAAAACTTTAAATTAAAAAGAAAATTAAAAAAGAAAGAAAGAAAGAAAGACCAAGAAGAAATAAGCGGTTAGCTTTAAAGAATTATTATAAAACCAGCTACAGAAGATGCTTCCTTTAAAAAAAAGTCAATCTACACAAAAAAGGAAAGAAAGTAAGCCATGCAAATGAAAATTATGAGAAAATTCATGAAATGACCAAATAAAGTTGTTATTTCAAAAGATAAAATTGAAGCAAAATAAATGAAAGATGCATGCATTATATTCAACAGCTAAAGTATATGCAGTTGAAAATAAAGAGCAAACACACATGCACATCATAAAAAGCAACGAATAAAACTCTTACCAATTGTAATTTAAATCCATAACAATACTCTGAGGGACCAACTGTATACTGGTAAAAGCCTACTAAAAACTTCACTAAAATTATCATTCATATATCATGCTATATAATATATAAATGTACAATTATGATATAAAAGTAGAGTATCATCTAACAATGTCATATATAATTCAATGAAAGTACATATGTATCAACTAAGTTTACAGATTGTTTGCAATAATAAGTGTGCATGACTAACATTATATTCTAAAATCATGCTAGTACATGTATTAAGGAAAACGAAACAATGTTAATGTTTAAAGTTAATGGAACAAACAAAGTCTCAACCCAAAGCAAAAAAAAGAGGATAAGGAAATATGAAAAAATGAATTGCAACCTTGCAGCTGCCTATATACAAAGCATGCTTGTGTTGTAATACTTCATTCATTTGTACCTGAAAATTTCTAAAATACATAACAAACTAAAGGTTTAACAATAAAACATCTGAAAGCAACATTGTCGTAAGCACTTAGGATTCATTTGATGTGATTCTGAATCGTGTGGAAAGCAGATTTGAGCGATCTATCTATAAAAAAGCAAAAAAATGTCAAAAAATATGCAATGCTTCAAAAAAGAAATTATATATATATTTTTTCTCTGTTGAAGCATCGTGTGTAATATGAATATAAATTTCATAAAAGAATACAACATCCAAATATGGATATAGCTTAAGAATAGACTTCACATTCATTTAAGCACTTTATACAGCTGGTGTCAATATTACCTCGTCAATTCTGGGGAACAGGTGCAAATTGATAGTGCATTGCAAAGCTGCTTTTTTCTAAACTATCAATTGTCCATTGCTAATTTCATGACAGAGCTAAATAATTGGGTAGCATTTGAAATATAATATCTAAATTAAATAATATATGTGATTTGCAACTTTAAGAAACAGTTTAACTGTTCTTAAAATTGTAATTTATCTTGTATAAAGAGCTTATTACAATACCCTTCTTCATGTTGGACTCATTTACAAAACTTGTAATATCCAAATTCAATATTGTTATTTACTGATCTGAAGCAATCATAGAATCTTATGTTTTATTCTGTCATTCGCAGTGATGACCTTTTATAACAAAATAAATTAAGATATTATGATTCATAAACGAGTCCTTAATGTAACTGGTATTATGATACAAACACTAAAGTTTACATTGTAAAATCCAATTAAAACTCAGTATTCTGCATGGTCCTGTCGTAATAAATATTCCTATAAATGTATTTAAAAAATAAGGTTGGAACCTAGATCTACCAGCTTGCTACAAATAATACCTTCTAACATATCATATCAAATAAACTATTTTTAAATATACAAGGAGCATAATCATGCTTTTTGATGTAATACTCACTGCCGGTGACATCAAGATTTGTCACGATGCTGTTGGAATCTCCTGCAGCATTGACGCCATGACATCTGTAATTTCCTTCATCACTGAACTGAGCAGATGTTATTACTAATGTTGGGCTGTTCAAAGTTCCTCCACTGTATCGGTTGTTACCACTTATGTCTAAGTTGGAAAATGATCCACCACCAGTTTGTTGTTTCATCCAGTAAACATTCGTAGCTGAAGGTGACCCTGACACGGTACAAGTGATGCTGATCTGGTTACCAAGTAAAACGGAGTATGTGGATGATGGGATGGTAACAGTCAATGCACCTATTTAAAAAGATAAAAAAATGTCTTTTAAAAATATTGTTAATTAATATCACAGCATCATCAAACACTTATTTAATTGTCAGAAAATCTAAATTCTAGGAAGTATTTTACATAATTTATCAAATAAAATAAAAGATAATAAATCCATGACAAAATAATATTGTATCATACATATCACAATACAAACCAAACTATAAATTGAATTCAATAAAATGTTCCACAAATTAAAAAAGTTAAAACAATATTTTGATACTGGATGATCTTACCTTCCATAACATGTACGAATACAATCAATATTTTTGTTATTATTTGACAAATGATTACTTCTGATTATATAGAATATTCATAATGGTATTCACTTGGTCAATGAATAGTAATACCTAGTGGTAGAGTTAAAATGTCATTGACACATGCACGAGAACTGCATTAATTGTAAAATTTCTATTATTCAGCCATTGCTACACAAGTATAATATGTAATGATTAAACAGTGTAAATTCACCATGTAAAATGTATTTTCAGACTTATTACAGGTTATTGCTTTTGAAGTTTTTATATCTTCAAGTAATGCCTTATAAACAGTTGCAACAGGAACACATGATATAGCTGTCCACAAACCAGTGACACTTCAAACATTTGAAGTTTATATATCAAAACTAAGCATTGCCTTAAAAGTGAGCTCAGCAGTTAATTAAATGAATTTTCAAAACAAAAATGTTCTTTTAGAAAAGATATCAAGACCTTGATTCAAATTTCAAAATTGTCCAATTAAAAACATTAAAAAAATCAAGTAAATAAAAGCTTGGATGACATTATCAAACTTCAACATGCTAATATTTTATTCCCGGTTAATCCATGAGATTGTTAACATTGTAAAGGCATTATCACATATACAGCACTAGTTTTAACTAACTTTTCAAATATCTTAACAACAATTTTACACACACATTGCTGTATGAGCTCACTTTGTACCCATTGTTTTGGCACACTTGGTATTAATCCTGAAGCATATTAATTATGTCAATGATTATATCTGTTGGAATCAGACTTTGGCCGAAACAATTAAATCAATAGAGGTACCAAAAAGAAAATACTTTCAGTCCCCAAGAAACAAAGACATGGCGTGTATTATTTTTTGGCATCATACCCAACTTTACTTAACGGTGTGATAGCTAAATTTAAAGTTATACGAAATCTAAAAGAAAGTAATCTTTTAAGAACCCATTGCTTGGTCAGAGCAATCTTTTAAAAGAACAATCTTTCAGTTATAATAGACAAACAAATACAAATTTGTAAATGCACTAGGTTCTGTTGATATCTATTGCAATTTATTAAAACTATGAAATGAAAATGATGAAATGACTGAACACATAATTTATGATGAAATCCAACCCCAAAAAAACATCATTCAAATCAAACATTATGTATAAAATATATATATATATATACATACATGTGTTCCACAAAACACACTGATTCCCGTTGACATTCATGTTTTTAAACACAAGTTAAATAAGTGATTTGATATCGATGAAGATGGGGTTACATGATTCATCTTAAAAAAAATCTGAGATTTTCACTAATTTATTTCTGATCATGTAGCAACATGGTTATTTTGTAAGCAAGTCATACCACACTGAATGACTTACTAGCATATATGTTTAACTCATACGCAGGACTATAGCCGTTACCAAGGATATTAGACGCGATGCATACGTAGCTGCCAGAATCTGTAAATTCCGCGTTGTTTATAGTCAGACCAGGATGGGCTAATGTTGAGCCGCTATATTTGTTGTTACTGATTGCCACATTTAATTGTGTCGTGACACCATATCTAGTTTTTTGCCAGACAACAGAAGATAAAAGTGGATAGTATGGTGTTGATATCCAGCAATCTATATTTAAATTTCTGGTTCCATACAGAACAAAGTCATCACTTCTACTAAGCCAAACAACTGGCACATCTATTAAATAATTTGACATCAATTTATTGTTCTGTAGAGTGCTTTCCTATTTTTCATGACATTTTAATCTTTTTTTTCAATATGTTTTATTTTTAATATCTCGATTCGCCAATTTATGAAAGGTAGTTTTTTTAAAGTAGAAAAAGAAACTTAAAGGTTTAATGTTAAAATATTAAATATTAAGTTATTTTTTTCATTTTTAAGAGGCAATTAAAATATATATATTTGTGTTACTCCTCAAACTGTTATAAAAGCCAGATAGTTCTTATGTATCGTTTAGAGAGATGTTTATATCTTATTGATTTCAATGACCATGTTAGTGTTAACAAAGCAACGCCACTTTCACCTCATCACCTACCGCCAGCGATACCCAAAGCAACGGTGGAACTTTGGCCGGTACCAACTGCATTTCGAGCAAAACATTGATAAGTTCCGGCATCTTGGAATATGGCATTGTTTATTGTCAACGATGGGTTATTTACAGTGGAACCACTGTATTTCCCAGCACTGGTGGAAATAACTATTTGTGTTGTTATCTGATTGCTGTTTGTAAACTGCCAAACGATTTCAGTCACTACAGGATTTTGTGACATAATAGAACAGACTAGCGTAACAGATGCATCAAAAACAACAGTCTCTGTAGTCTTGCTAAGTTGTACAACTGGTATATCTATTTTTAAGAACAATATACTCTTCATGTATATGTGTTTTGCACAAGTATTTAAAATCGGCAAATCAAACATTTATCTATAAATTATGGGAAAATAAGAAAAGAAAAAAAGAACTAAAGTGAGACCAGCATGCAACTCTTTAATAAGCATGTCAATAAATGAAAAGCCTGCATCAAAATCAAGATTGGACGTATTATTGTCTTGGAATAAACGTATTATGGACATAGCAATAATGTTAGAATCAGATCGTTATATTTCAAAATAGCAAAGATTTTCCCTGAAGTTTGACCCTAAAAAATAACTTTAAGGTTTACTTTTCAGACATTTGTCCTGTTTTTACTGGTTAACCCTTTACCCCTAAATAATTGTCAATGTTAGCTGGTAAATCTCACAGAAAAAGGCAATAAGGGGATACTTCAGGAGTCTAAAGCTCAATACCTAAAACTTATCTTAAATTCATGAAATTTTTTATGTCACTCATTTTCCTAGCCATTTATAACTCAATCAACAAACATTGCACCTAATTTGATGAAAAATATCCAAACAAGATTATTCTTTGGAATTTTATAGAAAAAAATGTGTAACTGTAGTTAATACAAACACTTATAAACATCAAAATTAAAAGAAAAAAAGACAAATCATTTTCTTAAGTACATCAAATGGTAAATTTAAACAAATATTCACCAAACATTGTCTTCTCAAAAATCTGAACACAATGGTTTAAAGCCTAGTGTTACTATGTAAAGAATTTTTTCCAGCTTAAATCTTAAGGAATCTTAAGGAACAACTATCTTTTATTTCTTTCTCATCTCATACTTCCTGTTTGATTAAAGAATACTGACATATAAGTATTTCAACTTTGTTGCATACAACTTATTTTCTCCATATAACTTCTTCAAGTATGCTTGTAGGAAAAAAATATATGGGAAGCCAAATAAGTATAAACCAACTTACCTCCGATTATGTTCAACTGAGTATTACTACTCTGAGCACTATCAACTTGATTCTCAGCTTCACATTTATAAAATCCAGCATCCAGGTTGTTGGCATTGAGAATGGTGAGAGCTGGGTTGTTTAAAGTACCACCACTATACTGGGAAGGATCTCCAATATTGATAGTAGTAGGCTGGTTATTGCTGCCAGTATAATACCATGTCACTCTAAAATGAGCTGGGTTAGCACCAACAATGGTACAAGGGATTGTTGCATCATTTCCATATATAACATTGTAGGCACTTTGTGGTATTGATACTTGTGGTGCACCTAAAATAGAGGAAGATATTTTCATGAATTGTTGAACATATTTTCACATAATAATAATGGTCATAAATTTAACATTTAATACAATTAAAAAAATTCATTCTGATCAAAATCATACAATTGTGATAACAAAATTGCACAAGATGAAAAGTAGAAAAATAGATTGGCTCACAAATTCATACCCCAACTAACCCATTATCAATGTCTATGTTTTTCTATGTGAGTTCCCCAAAATCATGTAGATCAAATAATAAAATAGTGCACCATGGTATACTGTAAGAAAGATTCCATGAGGTTTCTCTGAAATCCAGTCAGTGATGTAGGTATAGATGCAAGATGCCCATCCCTTTCTCCAGATATAGCAACGACTATATTTTGCTATATGAAACCTCTTAAAACTTTGGATCAATAAATATATATAATAAGAGCTCAATACCATTAAGTACTTTTAAAAATTCTTTCGCTACACCTAGTCCTTACTGATCAAAAGGTAATTAAAACTTACTGCCAATAACATCAACTCTAGCATTATTGCTGGTTCCTGTACCAACAGCATTGGTAGCGAAACATACATAATTTGAATCATCATTGAAGTCGACATTGTTGATGGTCAAATGTGGTGCTGTCAATGAATTGACAATAGAATATTTATTATTGCTGTTTTGTGCATCTATTGCTGTAGATGTCTGACCATCTAAGGAAACTTTTCTCCATCCAACAGAAGTGGCTGAAGGGGATGCCGACACACTACACTGGACTGTTACTGAAGAAGCACCATAGTTTGCAAACTGTGTTGATGGACTTGCTGTGATACTTGCTAATTCTGAAAACAAAAATAATAATATATAGAGTTCATTAGCAACACACTATCTGTGTTTAAGAAAATGTTTCACAGCACTAACCAGTTTAAAGACAATTTTTCTAATACCTTTGAATATGAATGTCAGAGTCACAAAATGAAATTTCAATTGGCACAACACATTTTTGAAAGTTACCTTCATTAGGTACATACAACAGAAAAAGTTAAATTTAGTTTTTTGTAATTGGTACAGGCTATCTAAATGTTGCAGCAAGGAACAAGCTTTTTAGTTAATTTTTGAAGATCTTTCAGCAACTGTCAAGATAAAGAACAGTAAAAAAAAAGGCTTCCGAAGGAAGGCCAGAATTACTCACATGGATTTATTTTACCTACAATTACTAATTGCATCTAGGGTCAATAAATGATAACCAAAAAGCTTCTAAAGTGTTTTTGAATGTTACAATAAATAAAAGCAATATCATCTTAATTAATAATACATACGTCCAGTAACAATAAGTCTTGCAGCTGAACTTGTTCGCAGCCCTGCGGTATTTTGTGCATTACACACATAATTTGCATCATCAGATTGCTGAATATTCTTTATTGTCAAAGATGGATTCTGAGCATTTTCCTGAACTGTATATTTATTATTGTTGGTGCCTCGGTTGATGTTCTCTGATGATCCACCACTTGTTGGGGTCTTAGTCCAATACCAATTAGTAGCTGTTGGATTACCAGTAATCTGGCATGTTATCACATACGTACCAGTTCCAAGAACAGCATTGCCAGATGATGGACTGACGGTAAGTGACAAGTATTCTGTAAAAAAAAATCAAACACACCCCTTAATATTTCTTCACCTACATATCAATCATCTCAGATAAAAATTTCAATTCAATAAGAGAATTTTTTTTGAAAAATCCTTACCTTTAATATTGTAAGAAATATTAATGGCTTTATTTGATTAATTCCAATATTTAAAAATCTGAAGACATACCATGCAATTTTAACAATTATCTCATAATTATCAAGTCAAATAAAATATCCTATATGGTTCTGGTGACCTAACTTTTCCTTATTCCTTAACCATTACCTTAACATTTTTTTTTTTCACCATTTTTTAAAAGCATGGGTTTAATAATAATACCACCAATATTGACTAAAAAATAAAATTAAATGAAAAAAGACCCTCAGTTTTTTTAATTTTAGCAAGTAACCAGAACCAAAATCTGTATTTCATATGGCCTAATAAATTTTGCTTTATTAATTAGAACTAAACAGTTAAAATCAGTTCATCCAAAACTCATTCTATAAATAAAGTTATCCTTATTGGACGCATGTGTACAAAATATATATCTTGTTGTAATATAGAATACAACATATCATTTATACAGATATAAACAAAGTATTCATTCTGAATTAATAAAACTGAAGTATAGGACCATTGTAGTGTGATATTAGTAGAAGAAAAAAATCTCTACCTTAGATTGAAGAGATTTCATATTTCAATGAAAAAATAATATAATGTAGGAAAACTTCAAAAAAAAAACCAGATTTTCTTTTCAATTAATTTTGTAAAACAAGAAGAAAAAAAGTTAAATCTAGTAACTCCTATTCTGCTAAATATTAACTTGAAGATATAAAATTTCTCAAACAAGTTATTCCTCCTTGTTTGAAACTACTCTAACTAGTTCTACCAATGGGTGACAATGGAGAACTTATCTGTAGGTTTATTTCTTCGATGTCAACATTTCTCAACAATTCTTGTATTCAATCTCTAAAAACTGAGACAGTTAAAAGCATTCCAGGTGATTACAATATATATATATATCATTAAATCAGCTCACAATTAATAAATATATATGTACAGGTATAAATATATACAGAGACACACAAAAGCATATATACTCAGGAAATTATATAATTATATACAAATTAAATTTTATTACTACATATACATGTACCATACAAACAGAGATATTTATATTAATCTATATCAATTATTAATGCAGGAAAAATCCTGATTTCCGTCTATAATTCAACATAAAAATACAATCTTCATCATGCTGCATGCAAAGTGATGTTTTTCATCATCCTTTTTTTTTAATTTTTTTTTGTCTTATTAGGTTGTTGTTCCATTGACATATATACCCCATATCTCTTAGAATCCTTAAAAAATCACTCAAAACAAACATAGACTTTGCTTAAACTATAAATCTGTCAAGTCTATGAAAAATTGATATTAGTACTGAATAAGCTTTTGGCAATGGACTTTCAAATGTCTTTTCTTTTTATTACAAGGGGTGTATACGCTTATTGTCATCATAATAAGTAACAAACAAAAAAGCAAAGCTGTGTGAAAAAAAGTATTGTGATAACATAAAATTCTTTTCCACCTAAAGTAACAATTTGGCAACTTATTTTTTTAATTCTCTCAATTTCTATATTATGGTAGCATTCCTTTAAAATGTGTTAACAATTGTGGAAGTCTTTGTTGTATAAAAATCTGTTTACTGACAAAGCAAACTTAAAAGACCTGTGGAAAAAGCTTTAAAATCATGGTGAACTCAGTGTTTGAACTTAACACATAGTGAGAAACTCCTCTAATTTCATATGTTCCTACAATTTTCTTTGCAAAAATTCTTTATCCATTTGAATACCAGAAAAGCAATAATTAAAAACCTTTACAAAACATGCTTGCTACAACACACTAGGATTGTAAAACCTTGATCATGCCATCATGCATATACACACGATCTGATGACAAAATGGAGTCCCTGAAACAAAAATTACAAAAGAACAAAAATATTTGACACAAAAAATATTGCATTTAAAGCTGATATATTTTACCATGAATTTAGGTATGGACCTATTTCAAATACACACTGGAGGAAATACAACCAAGGTTTCCAAGAATCATGTATTTCTTACCTTTCGTGTGTAATTTACATATATAATTTATTTCTGTACACATAAGGTGGGATAATTTTATTTTTTGTGGTAGGAGAAATCTTTGATTTTATTTTACGGTGTCTAAATTTTGCCTACAAAGGATCTTTTTAAATAAAATAAATGTTAGGCATGCAGTTGCATTATTAAAGTTTAAAAATTATACATATGCCAGTAACTGAAATGAAGCACAAACCATCAAACTTTGTAAACAACAGAAGGGATGCGAGTTAGGACAAAATCTTTATGCATTTTATTACTTGTACATTTTTTCATTAAATATCAACACTAAATATTTCAATTTTAAGAATGACCATCATCTGAATCACAACTATGAATGATACAGCGTGAATCATTAACTTTTATCTGTAAGGATTTTTTTCTCGAATTTTTAAATAAGAGCCTAATTTAACCTAGAGCAAAAAAAGTCATTGGAATTTCAATGTATTATGCTGAAACTATTAATTTATAAATCAGATGATTATTTGCAAAGCAGTATTTCCATTTCTTTTTTTTTTTACGGTGGCAGGCTGATTTAATAAAGTATATAGCAAGGTGTGCATCATTAGCAAAGCTTTTATTAATCACTTTTATAATTGACAAAAAAGTAGAAGGAAAAATTGTGAAGTAGAAGGTGATTTAACCATTTACTTGTTCTAAGAAACACCGAAAAGCATTAAATTTTTTTCAAAAATATTGATTTATATTTATAGTAACTGTTTCAAAAGCAAAGTTTTTTTTTCTTTTTGTCATATTTTAACATCATTTATTTAACAAGGCATTACAACTTGGGAAACATTTTTTTTTTTTTTTATTTCTTCATATATTATTTATCTTGAGAGATACTCAACTCCAGTTTCTTTGTTAAATCAAACTGTTATTTTAAATGTTTATACAAGCATAATTAATCCAAGAAGTAAATATGGAAAATATTCAACTCTTGGCCTAACAAAAGTGATAATTAACTCATGCGCTAAGATTTTATTTTCTTTCTTTGTTTGAGCAGGAGATTTTATTTCTTGTACACAGATGTATGCTTTAATACAGCAAAATAAAGCATTTAAAAAAGTGAAAACCATCTACCATAAAAAATTGGAAGTTTTGCCCTTTGAGCACTAATTTTGTTTAAAAAGATATCTTCTACATTAAACAGTGTATCTGACATTCTGTGCTCTGTCTCTCATGACAAACATGTCTGACTAAAAACTCTCCTTGATATTACACAAGGGAATTCTCTATGATAAACATTAGTCTTTTTTAAAATACTGTAGCTTATGACATTCCCAAATGAACCAATAATGCATTGTTATATAAGATAGTAAAGAACAGATCAATAGCCCCAGCCCCTTCTTTTCTTTGATGGCTGAAAACCTGAGTTTTTGGAACATCTGATATATGACTACTAAGCCCTCCTTTTTTTAAATCCTGGATCTGCCAATTAATTAACTCCAACTTGTCAAGCGGTCACTTTTTTAAAGAAAGATTGGGTTGTTTTATGTGCCATTGTTGTTTCGAAATAACTGTATGGAAAGGAATTACCCCAAAAACATTTTAACATTTTTTCAGAGAGTATTTTATCTATTTGGAAGTGACAAAATGGTTATGTGAGTTGTAGCAATATCCTAGAATGTGAAATACATGTTTAAAAGTGCAGAATGTCAGATAAGCTGATTTTACAATTTTCACTACATTTGATTTATGCATACATATGTGCAACTACCTTCTACAATGGTATGTATATTACAGTATCAGTACAAACACTTGTGTATTAGTGTCACAAAGTCAGTTATTATAACCTTAATTGTATATTATGTTCACTTTGGACATGAATAAAATTATGACAAAATATTATAAAATTAGTAAATCATAATAGCATTGGCTTAAAATAAATATATGAAATTTTGTTGGTGTAAGTCACATGTGTTTTGATTCGACTGGAAGAGAGAAAAATAATAAATTTTTTAATACAAAGGTTGAATACATTGTTCTATGCAAGCTGCAGTAAGCTGAAATCTTCAGCTATCATGAAAGCTTATTCTTTTAATAAAACAATGTATACAAGCTGGTTCCAGCAGTTACTAAATATATATAAATACTAAAAGGAATTTTAATTCAATAGAAATACAGTCAAAATCGTCTCTTCAGAATCCTCGACGGAATTTTTATTTGAATGATTAGGAAACTGTTTGATCCAAAACTGACTGTATTATAATGTATGAAAACATAGCTTATCCTTGTTATAACAACATTTTATATTTCAAGATAACTTCCCCGCCAAAAGAACATAACACATATACCTAACTTCTATCAAATTTAATCAGGTCAGTAACTATTTGGTGACACCAATAAACAGATTAATGAATGTGTTAAAAAACAACAACTGTTTTATTTGAACCGAAAGACCATACTTTTGTCTTAAGCCAGAAGACTGTAAGTAAAAGTTAATCGTTTTAAACAAACAAAAAAGTGTTGTTAAGAACACATTCTATAACTGTTTTGTTATACCTTTTAACTAAAGAAAAACAGCATTTGTGCAAGTGAGCATACATTCCAACCAAACATAAAGGAGGAAGGCAAAACAGTCAAACAAAAATTGTTTTTCCGTGCAATTTTCTTTTCTTCACAAAAAATGTAGAGATATTTTATGAAAAAAACATTCCAAAAAATCCTCATTTTAAATGTTTAGATATTGGTAGGGAATAAGGTGGTATATAAAGGTATAACAATAAATAATCGTTGACCATAAAGGTAGGTTACTAAAGTCAGATAATTCTATCGGCTGGATGGACACTACAGCAGGCATGGTAGTACATACCGATATAGGTCAACACAGATGTAGAGCTAGACTGGCTTCCCACAGCATTAGTTGCTATACAGACATAGGAACCAGCATCAGTTGTCTCGAAATTAGTAACCGTCAGTGATGGGTTCCCTGGAGTACCGCCAGAATATTTTGTTGGATTTCCTGCCACATTAACAGATTGACCATCTTTTGTCCATGCTACATTGGTAACAGATGGATTTCCACTTACACTACATGTAATAATTTGACTGTTTCCTCTGATAACCTCAGCATTTGCCGGAGATATGGTAACGGTCAACAATTCTAAAATAGAAAAACGATCAAAGTCTCAAATATTTGTGAATCATCAATATAGAATATTTACAGTGTAGTTGCAATTACATGAAGGTTGTTAATTTTGCTGGAAAATAAATAAAACCCCAAATCTGAAAAAAATTGAAAAAAAAATTTCCCACTATTCCATTATAGCAAGTGCACAACTCCAATTTTCTTCTTCTTGTGAAGTTTCAGGAATCTGGTTTGAAAACTATAGTAGTTGATTACACATATTAAATCTCAATTTTCCCCGCCCGTAATCACATACTATAACCTGGTTTAGGACTTTGTCAAACCCCTCTAAATATACACACAATAAGAATGGCAGTGAGTAAATATTTCATCCAATAATATACATTCTAATTGCTAATCTTGATTCTATTAAAGTTGAAGATAAAAATTTAAAGAACTCACCACCAGTGACAGTAAGCCTTGAACGTGTACTGGTTTGTGTTCCTGCAACATTTGTGGCTCTACAGTAATAATCTTGTTCATCATCTTCCACAATACTATTGATAGTTAAATGTGGAGCAGTGGCAGAATTAACAATGGTGTATTTGCTTCCAGAAGAGACTGTTGTTTCTGTACTACCAGAGATTGGTTTCTTTACCCAAGTCCATGATGTAGCCTGGGGAGTGCCAGTTATAGTACACTGTACAGTGTAGGAAGAATCACCATAAACAGCAGTACCATCTGAAGGACTCACTGATACTGTTAATTGCTCTGCAAGAGAAAAACAAATCTTTTCTTTCTAACTGCAATGTATCAAAAGTATTTCAAACTATAAAATTCAGTGTCAAAAAGAAGAGTTTAAAAGTGATTTGTTAATCTCTGCAAAGTTAAATGTGATAAAATTACCACTGACAAAAAATATGATATCATCTGCTATGTTCATGTTATGGTGGGTGTCTTAAAAATCATATAATCATATATATATACATATAAGTCTAGAGATTTGCACAACGATACTAATATAAGATGGTATTATACGAAGATGTTGTTATTAAATCGTGTTGACAAATATTTCGGCTTAACTTATAGCATTCTTCAGTGTCAATAATTTTAACAACATCTTCGTATAATACCATCTTATATTATTATCGTTGTGCAAATCTCTAGACTTATATAATTTTTTCCTTATATGCACAGTATCGTCTATTCTAGACGATCCAGTACATATATATAAGAAGATGTGGTATGATTGCCAATTAGACAACTCTCCACTAGAGACCTAATGACCTAGCTATAAGCAACTATAGGGCACAGTATGGCTTCAACAATGAGCAAAGCCCATACCTAAAGTAAGCTATAAAAGGTCCTGATATATGATTCTTTTGAATGCAACTATAGGTCACTGTACATGCTGTACAGCATTCAACAATGAGCAAAATCCATACTGTAAAGTATGCTTTAAAAATGACCCTGTTTTATGTTTGTTGTGAATTTAAACAATGTACCAGGGTAGGTTAAAAACCTTGTGCACATTTTTCTCTCATCTATATTTTTTATTGTTCTGACAATGAAATTTATTTATAAGATTTAAAAAAACTAAGCTACTTTCTAACCTAATTATACAATTAACTTTTGAAATTTATGTCTAGTCATGCAATAAATTATCCGTAATAGGTGTGGTCATATCATACAGTGACATATTTCCAGGATTTTTAAAGTTCAAAATTTAAAGCAAAACAATGAAAATATTTAGAATTTTTTCTTAAAAACACATTTAAACAGCATTTATTTCTAACTGAAGTGTCTAGCAACAGAGAACACGAATAAACATTCAGAAAAATAATTGTTCAAAATACTCACGAATGAATCTTAGAACAGAATTTGTACTGGACTGTGTTCCAACAGCATTTGTAGCAGAACATACATAGGTACCACCATCAGATGATTGGAAGTTTAGTACTGTTAATGAAGGATTCTGGGTATTACCACCAGAATATTTGGCAGTATTGCCTAAGCTTAATGTTTGTTGTTGATTAGATCCACTTGGTGTGAAACGCCATGATATTGATGTGGCGGTGGGATTTCCAGTAACAATACATGTGATTAACTGAGACTGTCCCTGAAGGACGTCAGCATTAGCTGGGGAAATAGCAACACTTAGAAGATCTGAAAAGATAATGAAAATATGTCATTGTTTAAATTCTACTCAATAGAAAATGAAATACAAAAACACATCAGTACCCAGACTTATAATTTGGTAGTCCAGATAAGCGTTTCTTCTACTTAAAACTTATCAGTGGCACTCAAATCAAATATAAAGAGCACTCAAAACCAAAAATTTGGAAAAGTTGTGGCAAATACGGCCATGGCAATCTTTGCCTAAGGATAGTCTAAAGTGTCGTGTGGGGGCATGGAAGGCATTTATAGACCATTACCATCCATAATATTAAGTTTTCCTCTTTTTTATAATTCTTACAAAATTATATGGGAGATGCAACCACCAATAATTAATTAATTTCAGTGCCACCCATCACCCCAAATATGTTCAAATCTTGGGAAACAGCCCAACAAAAACAGTGTCTGTTAGGCAATGTCAGGGCTTACAGCATAGATATGCAGAAAATTCAGGCAAACAGTCAATGCTGGACCTTTAAAAAATGTATTGCACAAAAGGCTCTTAAGAATCAGGAGAGCTAAAAAGGCAATGGTTAAAGATTAGATAGGATGAAATAAAACATTTGTTACTAATGATTTACAACAACTGAAATATCACATAAAAAAGCATTTTAAAATATAGTTAACAAAATTTTTGAAATAATGAGTTATTCATCTTTTGTAAAAACAATTTCTTTTTTGCTAAAACAATAACTTAAAGGTCTTACCACCCGTGACAGTTAGTCTTGCACGTGTACTGGTTTGTGATCCTGCAACATTTGTGGCTCCACAGAAATAATCTTGTTCATCATCCTCCACAATATTATTAATGGTTAAATGTGGAGCAGTGGCAGAATTAACAATGGTGTATTTGCTTCCAGCTGATAGTGGTGTTAATGATCCACCACCTGTTGGTCTCCTTGACCAAGTCCATGATGTAGCCTGAGGAGTTCCTGTTATAGTACACTGTATGGTGTATGATGCAGTTCCATATACTGCAGTACCATCTGAAGGACTCACTGCTATAGATAGTTGCTCTGCAAGAGAGAAAAAAATGGACATATAATACTTTCATCTAAATTGCAACTCTACATTCATTCTGGTGTGTATAATTTCCTCCATATAAAAAGGCCTCATATTAGTGTGTTTGTTCCATCGGGAATAAAACCCTTTGAAAAAGAAGTATTGACATTTCTTAAATAGCGAATTAAATAAAAAAGGACAGAGTACACTGCCAGGAAAGAATTGTTGTTACAAAATGACATTATAATCAACAACTTACAAAAATCTGCATTTTAATTATGCAGTTATACAGTTTATCAATTTTTTTCATTTCATGTTTATCAATTCATGTCTGATTATAAAAAAATATACAATTACATGTTGATTTCATGTTATGTCTATTTAAAAGATTGTCTTGTATTATAATTATACATTGCCATTTTTAAAATTGTTTGATTAAAATTTGGTAATTGTATCCCTATGGCTGTAAATCCCTTACGAAAAGATGGTGTAACATTGTCTGACTGACTTTTGGTCTCTAGTGAACCTGATGGACTTCATTCCAGACACATGTCTGGAGCAGACTGGTAAAGGTATTATACATTTCTTAATTATTTTTAGCATCAGGATGCATTTTATCAAACAGACAGGTTATTAAACAGACATGTTACTAAATAGACAATTTATTAAACAGGCAAGTTATCAAACAAGCAAGTCATTAAACAAGCAAGTTTTCGAGCACATTTTGTCCTTTAACCATAACTGCCTATCCACCAGTTGGAGGAGAGTGATACTACCTCTTTTTCCTTTGAACATTTGTAATCGTCCCTTTGGACCAGTCATCTTCCAGGAAGGTCAAAACATGCCTATTTGGGCCTGTTACCTGGGAAGGAGGTCAATCTGCCTCTTTGACACAACATCCCCCTATTTTCACCCCTTTCGTTATTTCAATTGTTTGATAGCATTTTCTGTTTATTTTCACTGTGATACAAAAGCAATGCTTATTTGCACAGTGAAATGACATCCTAGGTTATAAAGAATGTGGTTTAGACTAATCTGCCCAGAATTTCTCAAGATCCCTCTTTTCCTATAATCTAAATCTGAATTGAATGAATATAATAATTTAAAACAAAATATATCTATATACTTACGAATAAATCTTAGAACAGAATTTGTACTGGACTGTGTTCCAACAGCATTTGTAGCAGAACATACATAGGTACCACCATCAGATGATTGGAAGTTTAGTACTGTTAATGAAGGATTCTGGGTATTACCACCAGAATATTTGGCAGTATTGCCTAAGCTTAATGTTTGTTGTTGATTAGATCCACTTGGTGTGAAACGCCATGATATTGATGTGGCGGTGGGATTTCCAGTAACAATACATGTGATTAACTGAGACTGTCCCTGAAGGACGTCAGCATTAGCTGGGGAAATAGCAACACTTAGAAGATCTGAAAAGATAATGAAAATATGTCATTGTTTAAATTCTACTCAATAGAAAATGAAATACAAAAACACATCAGTACCCAGACTTATAATTTGGTAGTCCAGATAAGTGTTTCTTCTACTTAAAACTTATCAGTGGCACTCAAATCAAATATAAAGAGCACTCAAAACCAAAAATTTGGAAAAGTTGTGGCAAATACGGCCATGGCAATCTTTGCCTAAGGATAGTCTAAAGTGTCGTGTGGGGGCATGGAAGGCATTTTTAGACCATTACCATCCATAATATTAAGTTTTCCTCTTTTTTATAATTCTTACAAAATTATATGGGAAATGCAACCACCAATAATTAATTAATTTCAGTGCCACCCATCACCCCAAATATGTTCAAATCTTGGGAAACAGCCCAACAAAAACAGTGTCTGTAAGGCAATGTCAGGGCTTACAGCATAGATATGCAGAAAATTCAGGCAAACAATCAATGCTGGACCTTTAAAAAATGTATTGCACAAAAGGCTCTTAAGAATCAGGAGAGCTAAAAAGGCAATGGTTAAAGATGAGATAGGATGAAATAAACATTTGTTACTAATGATTAACAACAACTGAAATATCACATAAAAAAGCATTTTAAAATATAGTTAACAAATTTTTTGAAATAATGAGTTATTCATCTTTTGTAAATACAATTTTTTTTTTTGCTAAAACAATAACTTAAAGGTCTTACCACCCGTGACAGTAAGTCTTGCACGTGTACTGGTTTGTGATCCTGCAACATTTGTGGCTCCACAGAAATAATCTTGTTCATCATCCTCCACAATATTATTAATGGTTAAATGTGGAGCAGTGGCAGAATTAACAATGGTGTATTTGCTTCCAGCTGATAGTGGTGTTAATGATCCACCACCTGTTGGTCTCCTTGACCAAGTCCATGATGTAGCCTGAGGAGTTCCTGTTATAGTACACTGTATGGTGTATGATGCAGTTCCATATACTGCAGTACCATCTGAAGGACTCACTGCTATAGATAGTTGCTCTGCAAGAGAGAAAAAAATGGACATATAATACTTTCATCTAAATTGCAACTCTACATTCATTCTGGTGTGTATAATTTCCTCCATATAAAAAGGCCTCATATTAGTGTGTTTGTTCCATCGGGAATAAAACCCTTTGAAAAAGAAGTATTGACATTTCTTAAATAGCGAATTAAATAAAAAAGGACAGAGTACACTGCTAGGAAAGATTTGTTGTTACAAAATGACATTATAATCAACAACTTACAAAAATCTACATTTTAATTATGCAGTTATACAGTTTATCAATTTTTTTTCATTTCATGTTTATCAATTCATGTCTGATTATAAAAAATATACAATTACATGTTGATTATATGTTATGTCTATTTTAAAGATTGTCTTGTATTATAATTATACATTGCCATTTTTATAAATTGTTTGATTGAAATTTGGTAATTGTATCCCTATGGCTTTAAATCCCTTATGAAAAGATGGTGTAACATTGTCTGACTGACTTTTGGTTTCTAGTGAACCTGATGGACTTTATTCCAGAAACATGTCTGGAGCAGACTGATAAAGGTATTATACATTTCTTAATTATTTTTAGCATCAGGATGCATTTTATCAAACAGACAGGTTATTAAACAGGCATGTTATTAAATAGACAATTTATTAAACAGGCAAGTTATCAAACAGGCAAGTCATTAAACAAGCAAGTTTTCGAGCACATTTTGTCCTTTAACCATAACTGCCTATCCACCAGTTGGAGGAGAGTGATACTACCTCTTTTTCCTTTGAACATTTGTAATCATCTCTTTGGACCAGTCATCTTCCATGGAGGTCAGAACATGCCTATTTGGGCCTGTTACCTGGGAAGGAGGTCAATCTGCCTCTTTGACACAACATCCCTCTATTTTCACCCCTTTCTTTATTTCAATTGTTTGATTGCATTTTCTGTTTATTTTAACTGTGATACAAAAGCAATGCTTATTTGAACTGTGAAATGACATCCTAGGTTATAAAGAATGTGGTTTAGACTAATCTGCCCAGAATTTTTCAAGATCCCTCTTTTCCTATAATCTAAATCTGAATTGAATGAATATAATAATTTAAAACAAAATATATCTATATACTTACGAATAAATCTTAGAACAGAATTTGTACTGGACTGTGTTCCAACAGCATTTGTAGCAGAACATACATAGGTACCACCATCAGATGATTGGAAGTTTAGTACTGTTAATGAAGGATTCTGAGTATTACCACCAGAATATTTGGCAGTATTGCCTAAGCTTAATGTTTGTTGTTGATTAGATCCACTTGGTGTGAAACGCCATGATATTGATGTGGCGGATGGATTTCCACTTACAATACATGTAATTAATTGAGATTGTCCCTGGAGAACATCAGCATTAGCTGGTGAAATAGTTACACTTAGTAAATCTGAAAAGATAATGAAAATGTTCATTATGTAAAATGTCAGAGGAAAAAATAATCATATGAAAATTTAGTAAGCTTGGATTACTACCTTTCACCTGTTTTCTTGTTTTTTGAAAAGGATATACAACTCATGATTACTGTATAATATCTTAAAGTATCATTTCAGCAGTGGCAAACAGTACCATTATGCCAAAAATTAAAACAAGAAGCCAATGCTGATTGGCTGATGCTTGATAGCCAATAAATAGAAATAAAATCTGATAATGGGTATACTTCAATGAAACAGCAATAGACTGACAAACATAACACAAGATGGCTGTTAGGCAAGGTATCTAAAACAGCAGGGTTAAAAATTGTAAAGACTAATAACTAACTTCTTCAGCTCAAAGATCAGCTAGATTGATATTCTTGCTAATAAATTTAGTAAAAAAAACAAAAATGTCATTATTCTATATATAGCGGGTAAAATGATTCCCAAAATTTATAATTTTATTACAAAAATGAACAACATTTTATGTATAATGAATTCAGGTAACCTATATCAGATGTTACCATGAAAATATTCTTAATATTTGCTATTTTAGCTAAAACAAAGAGCTCACCCCCATTAACAATAAGTCTTGCACGTGTACTGGTTTGTGATCCTGCAACATTTGTGGCTCCACAGAAATAATCTTGTTCATCATCCTCTACAATATTGTTGATAGTTAAATGTGGAGCAGTGGCAGAATTAACAATGGTGTATTTGCTTCCAGCTGATAGTGGTGTTAATGATCCACCACCTGTTGGTCTCCTTGACCAAGACCATGATGTAGCCTGTGGAGTACCAGTTATAGAACACTGTATGGTGTAAGAGGAATCTCCGTAAATAGCAGTTCCATCTGAGGGAGTCACGGATATAGTTAGTTGCTCTGAAAGATAAAATATTTACATGAAATACACCATCTAAAGTCACATTAAAATGTCAAATTACACTAAGCAGCAACTCAAAAATTTAGCAATACAACTTATCTCTGTAAAATTCCATCATTGCTAAAATCTACATTTATAATCAAATCTAAATATAGATGAAATGACCTCAAACATGCATATTAATTAATATGATTGCCAATGAGACAACTATCCACCGGAGTTCAAATGAAATGGATGTAATAACATATTGTCATTTATTTATATTACGCATTGGATAGATTATAGCAAACAGGAAGACAGTTGTCAATATTTAATTGAAATCTTACTAATTATTATTAAAAAATTAAACACCCAAAAAGGTTTTTCTATTTTCCTATGCTTCTGGCCTGGCAGTTGCTCTAATTAAAATATTTCTTTAACATTTTGAAAACAGAGTCTATATTGAAATCTTTTTCACTGGGTCAAGGTATAGCTTTTACTTTTTTAATCATTAAATAGAATTTGTCTTTTATCATAAACTGAGGATAAAGCATCAGAATTTTTTTTTTTTAAATTGTGTTTTAATAACTTACGAATATATCTTAGAACAGAAGTTGTACTGGACCGTGTTCCAACAGCATTTGTAGCAGAACATACATAGGTACCACCATCAGATGATTGGAAGTTGAGTACTGTTAATGAAGGATTCTGGGTATTACCACCAGAATATTTGGCAGTATTGCCTAAGCTTAAAGTTTGTTGTTGATTAGATCCACTTGGTGTGAAACGCCATGATATTGATGTGGCGGCTGGATTTCCACTTACAATACATGTAATTAACTGAGATTGTCCCTGGAGAACATCAGCATTAGCTGGTGAAATAGTAACACTTAGTAGATCTGAAAGATAATGAAAATGTTCATCATGTAAATAGTTGATGAGGCAAATATTTTATGTTTTATGAGATCAGTTAAATTGTATTAGATGTCACTACAAAACAGTTCTTACAATTTTTTTCTTTTTTTTAACTAAAACACAAAGAGCTCACCCCCATTAACAATAAGTCTTGCACGTGTACTGGTTTGTGATCCTGCAACATTTGTGGCTCCACAGAAATAATCTTGTTCATCATCCTCTACAATATTGTTGATAGTTAAATGTGGAGCAGTGGCAGAATTAACAATGGTGTATTTGCTTCCAGCTGATAGTGTTGTTAATGATCCACCACCTGTTGGTCTCATTGACCAAGTCCATGATGTAGCCTGAGGAGTTCCTGTTATAGTACACTGTATGGTGTAAGAGGAATCTCCATAAATAGCAGTTCCATCTGAGGGAGTCACGGATATTGTTAGTTGCTCTGTAAGATAAAACATTTACATGAAATATCAGAAAATGCAAACTTATTCCAGCTTCAAATCAATAAGATTTTCCAATATCCTGTTCGAATAAACACAATTCCATGTACAGTTAACCATGAAGTCCTAATTTTGCATTTATTTTAAAACAATGTGACCTTCCTGACAAAACTGTTTTTAAGACATTTTATAAAAAGCAAATCTAAGCATTGAAAATCTATTTTGAAATAAAATTACAATATTGTGAGAAAGCTATTGTCACAACTCAATATTTTGAAATGAATTTCTTCCTGTGTCCATAATTGCTGTTGGTTCAACTACAGTTATGGACAAAGGAAGTTAAATCCAATTTTAAGTATTGCTTTTCATAGTGATATTATTGTTAATTTTAGAAAAGATGATTCATACACAATGCACAACTTATGTAATTGTCATGACAAATATTATTATAATCATGCATATCATTTTGTATTTTGTATATTTAATCATATATCTTATATCTTAAGGTGGTACCCAACACCTTGACTAATATTAATTTGGCTCGTTTAATTTTCATAAATTTTTGACAAAATGTTTACTTTGACCCTTTGACAAAAATATAAAAATTTCAAAAAATTTGAACCAACCACTTTATCAGAAAAATTTCAGTGGTTATTTAGCAGTTTGACAAACACTAATTTTGATCATTGAGAAGCTTAATATTTCCTTAACAATACAACGTAATTAAAACGTTTAGCTTATTTTTACAGAGTTATCTCCCTGTAGTGTTAGGTACCACCTTAAGTACATAGATAGAATAAGAATGTTCAACTCCATGCACTATATTTTTTGTACTCTACTTCAAAGTAGTGATGAGGTCTTGATAATATAACTATAAAGTCAGTCCAACAACAGTTTTGATTTCATGAAAGCAATTTTCTTTCCAAAACTGTGCTGTTTGCACTCAAATAAAATAAAATCAAGTAATCTATTTTTAAGTGTCTATTTAGAATGACAAAACATTTTTCATAATTCAGATATGCTTTTTTCTGAAGTAAAAGCAATTGTTCAATATTTATGCAACACATGCATCATTGTAAAGTAGGCCAGGAGACAATCCCCATTTAAAGATGGTTACTTGTTCAAGGTATAGCGGAAATGTATAGCTTTCATTCTTTAATCGTGAAATAGAATTTGGAAGATGGTTCAATCCTAGGGTGAAAAGATTCAACAAAATATTTGTGTTTTATTTACTTACGGATGAATCTAAGAACAGAATTTGTACTGGTACTTGCTCCAACAGCATTTGTAGCTGAACATACATAGGTACCACCATCAGATGATTGGAAGTTCTGTACTGTTAATGAAGGATTCTGGGTATTACCACCAGAATATTTGGCAGTATTGCCTAAGCTTAATGCTTGTTGCTGACTAGATCCACTTGGTGTGAAAAACCATGTAATGGAGTTGGCAGCTGGTGTTCCAGTTACAGTACATGTGATTGACTGAGACTGTCCTTGAAGGACATCAGCATTAGCTGGTGAAATAGCAACAGTTAAAAGACCTGAAAAAATAATGAAAATGTCCATAAAAATACTTATCTGGAAATTATTGTTAAACTATAAAAAGTATTAACACTAATAAAGAGCTTGTGTTGCACATTATGAATTCCTTCATAGAGTCTGGTTTCCTTCATAGAAACAACTGGGTTTATACCACTTACTCTCACATATGATTGGAAGTATATAATTTGGAAGTTTTATCACAAGTTAATGCACTGCAATAAGGTGAATGTCTCACAGACAGAAAATTCTTATGCAAATTGTTTGTCACTGCGATTTTTTATTGGATGTCATACATTTTCAGGTGTAAAAGTCACTGTTTGCCAGTCAGTAGCCTTAGCGAAGCTGTTAGTTTGAATCCCAGATTTATTGAGACATGTTTCCTTTATTTTCGAACAAAACGGACCAATTTTTCAAATGCGAATATTTTGGTCAAATTTATACCATTGTGAAGTATACACAAAGTATATATATTTTATTCCCGTTAAAAGGGTACCTATGAGGTCAAACTGTTTAGGTGCTACAGATGAGAACATTATTTCTCTGAATTTTTTTTGTATGAGATGTTTATACAGAATAAATATGTAAATTGAAATTTTTTGTTTATTTTGCCTTAAAATGGAGATAAGTGTATCATTAAAAGTAGCTAGGTAAACTCCTTTTGTGAGAATTAAGCATACAATTTAAGTAGACCAAGCTTAAAAGAAATACAAATAAAATTATGTTAAAATTTAAGTTTTGAATGGTGAATTTATTTAAGATGAGTTCTGCAGAAATAGCATCCATACAATTGTATGATAAAATTTGATTATAATCTGTCATACAACAGAATAAGTAAATAATCCTTTTTATACGGTGTACTTTTCATGTTTAATTTACATCATTTTAATACAATTTTACATATCAAACTATAACAATGTAATAATCCTCAGCAAAAGACATATGTTATTTCAAACTTAGGAATTAAAAATTGATTCCACATATCATGTTTTCATTTAATATATAAAGGAGTAAGTTCTGTAAGGGCCAAATATGGCCCCGATTATAAAGTTCAATGTTACAAGATAAAAAATGTTTTAAGTTGACTTAAAGACATGTGAGAAAGTTAATTAGAACTATTTGTGTCAAAAGTTTTATTCTAAAGCGTTAATTTTTACATCCCAAATAGGTTAAGATAAGAGATTTTGGCGAAATTTGACAAAATCGGCCTGATTTCAAACAAATTTAGGACCAGGAAACATTGAGTGCAAGCTTCGACAAAACTAAATATTCAAGTTAGACATGTAAAATGTCTTTACAAACATCTTTTTTATCGACGTATGCGCTCTATGTTTCCTGTCCAATAATCAATGGAAATTTACCCATTTTCATTGATTTTTTCAAGCAAAATCAAAATGAGTACTAATTGTGACGTCATGAATAAAGCATAGGTACGTAAGTTTTCAACAAAAGGCTTATTTCCTATTTAGTCACTGTATTAACTATGATTCATTGTGATATTGGTCAATAAATCCTAATTTGAAATTTAAGCTAAAAAAAGGGGCCATTTTAGGGCCTTATTGAACCTACTCCTTTGTGGTTTAAAACTGAGAAAAGATGTTATAGTATGAATCAAAATGCATTGACAATTTAACTGACCTCCATTGACAATCAGCCTTGCACGTGTACTTGTTACTGTTCCAGCAGCATTTTCTGCTTGACAGTAATAATCTTGTTCATCATCCTCCACAATACTGTTGATAGTTAAATGTGGAGCAGTGGCAGAATTAGCAATGGTGTATTTGCTTCCAGCAGATATTGTGGATATTATACCACCACCAGTTGGTCTTTTTGACCAAGACCATGATGTAGGTGTAGTTCCAATTATGGTACACTGAATGGTGTACGAGGCATCTCCATATATAGCAGTGCCGTCAGCAGGAGTCACCGAAATTGATAGTGGTTCTGAAAACCAAGTCTTACATTTAATATCTTTCAAGTTTGTGATAATTAAGATTCCTTTTAGATGTCTTTAAATCTTATGATAGATAAGGAATAACCATGCATGGTCTTGGAATTAAAAGGTTTATTTGAACAAGCTTTAGAAACAAGTAGAAGAAATACAAGACTTGCACAGTATTTCTATTGTTTAATGTTCAGTACAAATAGATGTATCTAAGACAATGTTTGCTTATTCTTTTTACACTTTAATGCTCAAAACTTAATATTTTGTGATATACATTATAAGTCAACACATGTTTGATAATAAATAAAATGATTGACTGAACTTGTCAAAGTTTAGGTAATTTACTTTAATTCTATTTGTAGGAGTTGATTGAAAATAAGACTTATGTGCACTAATCAACTGAAACAATATGATAAACGGCATGATTCAATACACTCCAATCCGGACAAAGAACTATGAACAGCAAAATAAAATAGTATATATTCAAAACTATAAGTATAGAAAATGTCTAGATGAGCCATTTTAACAGTAAACTTAAACCAGTAAATTTGATGAACTGTAGTGTGGGAATTCCATAGTAGATCAATAGTTCAATGATATCATAAAGGGTTGGTCTATGAAATTTCATGAAAAGCCAGCGCAATTGTCTATAAAGCTTTTTGTATTAGCCGTTCATTTCCTTAACGGAAAAAATCCAGAGATTTTATGCAAAAAACTATTTAAATGCAGCAGCATTATTCACCAAAATTTATATTATGAATATCCATAATTTGATGATTCAGTGATATTCATAGAAATGTGCTCATGTGAATATGCATACTGTTTGGTCCAGAGTGTTATTTGCCGAAAAAATATGTAAAATTATAGAAGCATCATTATAAATATATATATACAAATATTAACTATACTTACATGATGTTCAAATTTCTTCCATTATTAAGAGCATGATCCTTTTACGCCATTCTCACACTAAACTTAAAATCTTTTATTTCAAACCTTTTTCAAGTCACAACAGTTGTTTAACAAACAAACAGATGCTGATGGCAATTTTCTTTTTTACTATTATTTTATTAGATCTGATACGATATTACATTTTATTCAACTCTTTAATTGGAAAATCTTTAAAGAAAATTACAATATTTTGTTTATTTAAACTTCAAAATGTGAACACAGAAACCATTTTGTGGAGAAAACAAAAATGTGCAACAATTGTGAAATAGCAGTCTCCTAACAACTAATTATCTAAACAAGTTTGTTTGATTGGTATGTTATTTCCTCTCTGTTTCCAGCAATTCATATGGATTCAACCTCTGCTTGATTTAATATACTTTTTAACAAATATGAGAACCTCGAAAGAATTTTTAAATATTTTTTTTTTCAATTTCTTTTTCTAATCCCTCTATTTAAAAACATACAAAAATTACCTTACACCCTCTCTATTACCTTTAAACTTTTCGAAATATGGCAATAAATTCTTTAATATATTTTATAAAATAGTCCACATTTTTTAACCCAATGATATATTTTGAGCAAGCTACAAAACTGCTAATCTATTTCACATGCATTTTTCTCTCTGTTTACAGAATTATTACCACAATGAATATTCCTACGATATTACATGCAATTAGTAACATTTACAGAATTGTAAGAGAAATGTATTTACTTACGTCTGATCTACAATTCCTCATTATTTATCATACATTACAGTTCAAAACAAGAAATGTATGCATTAGCGAACAATGACAAATTGACGAAAGCATAGAAATTCAAAATGTTAACGCATATCTGAAAGTTTAGTGCAAATGATGCTTATAAAACTATAAGCTCAATAAAAGTTACAGGCTTAGGTATAAAAAAGATCTTTGACATATAATAATATATCAACATTGTTAAAAATATCGTTTTAAAAAAATGAACAATGTCGTTCATTGAAATAAACTTTTTTCCATTGGAATCATCAACAAAAATATTTGTTCCATTGGAAACAAGGTGGAAAATGCACACACACACTATTTTATATTACAACTACAATGAACCTTTACTTCAGTTTGTATTGAACCAAAACACATGAATTCAATATGTCTTCAAATTACATCCTGCAAGATGAAGCTCTTAATAAATGAACTTCTCTAGGATACCCATCAATAAAGAACCAATGGCGTTTTTCATCAACATCCTGAACGAATTAGGTAGACATTATAATCAACCTGATGTTGGATGAAAGAAAAATCGTAACAATTAAAGTTTATTTACATACCTTCACTCCTGAAAATGTGCATTATTAAAATATGTACATGAAGAATGAACCTTTATTTCTGGGACGGCATGTAACATATGTAAATACTTACCAACATATGTCAATACGGAATTACTACTAGTTCCAGTACCAGCAGCATTTGTTGCTGCACAGCGATAAGAACCAGCATTGTTTGTCTGGAAATCTGTTATGGTAAGATCTGGGTTTCCTGGAGTTCCACCGGAGTATTTCCCACCACTGTTAGCTATATTTAGCAACTGTTGACTGCTACTTCCCGATGGTGTAAAATACCAGGTTATCAGTGTAGCAGATGGGTTTCCTTGGGGATTGCAGTCAATAACTTGGGTGTTTCCTCTGATAACATTAGCAGTTGCAGGAGAAATAGCCACATTCAAAATTGCTGTCAAAATAATCATATATTTAAAAATAACCCCCAATTGAAAAAAGAAAGAGAGTGTTGTTTGCATGCTGCTTGTACATGTTATTCAATCTATAAATGCAAAGATAAATAAAGAAGTAACATTGTATATAAAAAAAAAAAGATAGACAAATTGTTTCAAACACTTTTTGACTATATTCCACTATCCTATATCAAACATTTGTCATTCAAATAAAAAATTATTTAGATGAAGTAAGGAAGCCATACAAAAATCATGAAGAAATGATAATTTTAATCTTACCCAGATATACATTGTGTATCATTATGAAATAAGCTGTTTCGTGATTGGGCACTGCTATCCTTTATGAATTAAGCAATATTATAAAATGTCTAAACTAAGACACATTTAAACATGAACTTCCAATAAAAATTTATATAAGCAAACTTCTGCTTCATTAGAATATCCTGATAATATCAAACTTAATGAGCAGTACTTAAGAACAAACCTCCTGTGACTGATAGAGTGTGTCTAGAATTAGGATTATTGGCACTGTCACTTGTACCAGCAGCATTAGTTGCATAGCAAGTGTAGATTCCAGCCTCATTCAAAGCAATATTCTTTATGGTTAAGTGAGGGTTTGTGCCAGAATTATCAACAGTATACTGTTGATCATTTGTTCCTTGGGCTATGGTTTGTTGACTGCCACCTACAGGTTGGAATGTCCAGTACCAAGATGTTGCTCCAGGTGTTGCAGTAACCGTACACTGAACCTGGAAACTATTATCGCCTACTGTTGCTGTAAACTGACTTGGTTCAACATTTGTTGTAGGTACAGCTGAAATATAACAAAGATATAAGATGGATGCATGGCTGTTTAACGTCCAGTGGTAAATTAAATGCATATTCAGGAGGAGATCATGTTATGTGATATGAATATAAACCCTGCTTTGTACTAGACCAACACACAGAGCCAGGTTTTTAATGTGCTAGTTCACAAGATATCAGTCTGCAGGAAGACATGTCACTTTACCCGGACATCAGGAAGTTGATGATCAATAAATGTGAAAACACATCAAACAGTAATACATACTTACATGAAGATTGCTATCAAACTTCATGAAGATCTGACTTTAGATACTGTGAAAAATGTGACAAAAATGTATAGGACAGATGGATGGACACACAGAGGGAGGGACAGAGGTAAACCATTATAATCCCCTCCCTTGAAGTGAGGATTTTATAATTTGCATCAGCTATTTAGATTTCAATGGATAAACATAGGCTCAACATAAACAACAAATCTTTATTGATAATTTGTATGAACACATAAATGATATTAGAGACTTACTGATATAGGTCAAAGTTGAACCAGGGTTACTAGATGAGGATCCTGCAGCATTTGATGCTTTACATACATAAGTACCAGCATCACTTGGTTGGAAGTTAAGAACATTCAAAAAAGGATCCTGTGTTGAACCAACTGTGTATTTATTACTGTTTGTTGTACTTAGTTGAGTTTGCTGAGAGCTACCAGCTGGTGTAAACATCCAGGCAATGTTCTGTGCAGCGGGAGTTCCACTAACAGTGCAGGTTATTTTTTGTTGACCTCCTTGGATAACATTTTGATTTTGTGGAGTGACAAAAACAGAAAGAAGTCCTAAAAAAATCAGTAGTAATATAAATGCTTACACTACAATTCTTAAGATTAATTTAGAATGCTCAAAGTTATCCATAATTAGAATATGCATATCAAAAATATATACAGGTTGAGTACAAGTGACGTTCAGACATTCACAGTTTTTCTTGAATATTATTGAATAAAAACACTGTTTGGAAATACTCTTTTTACATGTTAAAGGGTTTACCACGAGTTTGTTTAGTCACAATCTTCTTTGTCTAAATTCATCAGTAAAAAGAAGATCACAAATGTGCCAATTATGAAATGAAATCATGAATTGCATGGACAGTGTACCGTCACTTCTGAATCTATTTGCTGAATTTGCTGGAATTTTACTCTTAATAGTTAATACATATTTGAATATGTAAAATGTCACATTGTCATTCAGGGTGTGAAATCAGGGAATCTTCTTCCTTTTCTAAATTTCAATTCTTAAGGGGTTTTATAATGTTACTTTTTAATAGCTTGTGAGTTAATCTGTTCAGAAGTTGGAGAAAATTGTGATTAATTGATTGATTGTTTGTTGCTTAGCATCCAGTGGAAGAGAAAAGTATTATAAAAAATTTTAATTCATTCAACATATTGAAAAATTCCATACTGACAAGGTGATTACAATATAGCCCACTCCTAAATGTGAACAAACTGATGGGATATCAAACGAACATACTGACAAGGTGATTACAATATAGCCCACTCCTGAACATGATTTTAATGAACAATGAGTCATGTAATGTTTTTATTAAAGCACATCATCAGACTCTCCTATCTGCTTTTGCATGAGTACTGTGATGTGAACACAAAGAGTTCTACAACTGTCCCACTTAGATGAGGACACAAAGAGTTCTACAACTGTCCCACTTAGATGAGGACACAAAGAGTTCTACAACTGTCCCACTCAACTTAGATGAGGAAAATTTTAAATTTGAATCGGAACTGAAAATCCTTATTAAGACATTCTTTTAAGATACAAGTACTTACCTCCAGTAATTGTTACAGTTCCAAGGTTACTGCTGCCAGTTCCTACGGCATTTGTAGCAAAACATGTGTATACTCCTGCATCGGATGTTGTAGCAAAATTAATCGTTAATGAAGGTGTGGATGTTGTACTGCCTTGATACCCCTGGTCTCCATTGTCAATTCGTAGAATCTGATTATTGGAATTTCTCTGCCAGTAGACTTGATTAGCTGCAGGACTAGCAGATACGATATTACAATTAATTACCAGTTGACTTCCATACGTTGCTGTGTAGGTAGAAGGATTAATCTGGACTACAGGCAGACCTTGAATAAAAAAATGTGAAAGATAAAAAAACTTTCTTGATCCAATTTACACAGATTTCACCAAATGGATCCAAACTTTAAACTACAGAATTGCATAGTCCATTTACCTATACTTTAATTGGTCATCAAGAAAGACTTGTTTGTGAGAAAAAAGTCTTTGTGTAAAACTACAATATCTATTAATCATTACTTATTAAATCATTACTTATTACACATATAATTATAAATAAGCTGATGAAAATAATTCAATCAATATGCATAAAATAGCAGTCAAATCTGTATCTCAATCTTTTGTGTTTTTTCTAATATAAGAAAACAAAAGTCAATTCCATCGCATCAGAACTTGTCCACACAATTATCTTACATGTGCACATCTAATTGTAATATATTATGTACTGCAAGCTCATTTATAGTATTTTTTTAAGAATGACATTTTGTATCCTTATTGCAAACCAATCATGGTCATGCTTTTCTCAGTCTCTTCATGACATTGTTACACTAAATCCACTTTGAGTGTACTAATTGATTTTTTTCTCTGATTTTGTTGTTGTTGTTTACCAATTGAAACTGGGCTTTGAACTAACTTTCTGTAACTGTGAATACTCTTACATCAGTACTTTACACCTTTTGTTTTGTGCTTAGTAATAACATGATGAATCAAGCGCTTTCCAATTGGTTTTCACAGTTTTTTCTTGGGTCATCCTGGTTTTTTTTAAAGCTTACCTTATATTTTACAGCATGGATTTAATTTATTGTCAAAGACAGTACAGTTACCAGTAGTTATTTTAAATAATCATACCACATCCCCATTTTATTATAATAATAACACTTATATAATATAGAATAAACCTACTTCCTGTAACGGTTAGAGTTGTTGTTGGATTATTTGTGCTGGTCCCAACTAGATTTCTGGCCTTGCAGCTGTATGTTCCTTGGTCTGTTGATGCCACATTGTTAATGGTCAAAGATGGACTATTTGTTGTTGAGCCTGAATACTTTCCATTTGAGGTTGAAACAAGGATAGGGTCTGTCACTTGACCTCCATTATTGGTAAATGTCCACTGAACTTCCTGTAGAGGACTGTTTGGTGAGCTGACTGCACACCCCAGAATAATTTGTTGTCCAGTTATTTGAGTGTATGATGATTGTGGAATACTTGTTGCAGGTGGGGTTCCTTAAAAAGTTTTAAGTTTACATTGTTAAAAATTGTTGATACTATACATGTATTCATTGGTTTTTTATTTTGCTTAAATGAGATTTTACCAGTCAAACGTGATTTCATAGTGTTTCACAATGGTAATCTTAGACGGCAGATTTCTTAAAGACACTTTTTAAAATTTTTTATTTAGGTGTAAAACTTTTTTCTGTATATGTTATCATTTTATATTGCAGATGGAAATAACCGGGACATCATAGAACCAGTATTGCTCATCTGTGCCTTAATTAAAGAAAAGATTGATCATTCTATGTTCATGATGTTACCCTTAACAATATGTTCAACTGTGGTGACCATCTTGGATTTCTCATTGGAACCAAAATGATTAATTGAATAACATCAATCCAATCTGTCGAGTCTTTAAAAAGGTGTTGCTTAAAAAAAAACATTTTGCACAAGCCAAGGTTAACTGTGTGCTGTCATCCATTTTTCCATTCATGCAATGGACTCCAAAATCACAAAACTAATGAAAGAACACAAAAGCATCATCAATGCAGTCTTTCTCTGGTTTTTCAAGCTGTTTACTTACTTCAAAGATGCTTCAGTGTTTATAAATGTATCAATGATTTAAAACCAAATTAGAAAAATCCTAAGGTGACAACTCCATTGTAAAAAACTCAAACTGCACTATAGATTGAACTGAAAAAAATACTGTCATGTGACATAAACAAAAAAAAACAAGTGCTTGTCTGCTGGTATGTAAATTTTCAATCCAATCTGCTGAATAGAATAGAATCAGAAAGTTTTTCTTCACTTGAATCCAAACACATGTACACCATCTAATTAGATAACTATTCACTACTAAAAGGTGTTTGAGAAGGTCATAGATTCTGTATGCTACTTACAATTAGTTGATCACTTACTTTGTAACATGGTGTTCACATGTTAAATCTAATGACAATTTTTTTATTCTGTAATTGTACGGAACTTGTTTAAGTTATTAAAATATACATCTTGCAAATTACGATAATGCTATTACTGATTACAGTGTTTTCTAAATTCCCTCTATAGGCGCATTTAGGGAGCAACCCCAAACATTGGCTTACCAAGGGCCTCCCTTTTTGAAAATCCTGGATCCGCACCTGATAAGCTTACATAAAGTCTGCACTAAACAAACAAAATGCTACACTTTTACTTACCAACAGGGCTAACATTAATAGTATTTGTATTGACAGGATCTCCTGTAACTGCATCAATACCCCGACAGACATAGTTTCCACCATCAGACTGTTGTACATTGGAAATTGTCAGAGATTCAGTAGCAACAGTGCCACCAGAAAGTCGTGAATTACTGTTTATATTGAGTTGAACATTATCTTTAATCCATATGATTTGAGATGCAGTTCCTTGAGTAACATCACACTGCAGAGTAACCGTTGACTGTAGAATTGGATTATACTGGGTCACAGGAGCATTAATTGCAATAGGCTCTGCAATAATTAGCAATAAATCAGTAATGATGTTTCTCTTTCATACCAAATTATTTCCTGTCTTATTCACAAATTTAAATCAAATTAAAATATGAATTAAATGATTAAAGGAGATAAAAATATCGTAAAGAACTGTTCAAACTAGACTCCAGTCACAGTATTAGTACTTGTTCAATGATTTTTTATTAGTTCATTAGTAGAAAATTTGCACTTTGTTGAACTTATAAATTCATGGTTTGCAGATACCCATGGAATCCAAAGAAAATTGGTATCCAATGAATAATAATGAATCCACAGTATTTAATTGGTCTTATAATTTTCAGTCTGGAAACACTAACAGGCAGAAAAGAAAGATAATATCAAATCTATGGACTACCTAACAAACAATCATTTTAATTGCTTTATGTACATGTATGAGGGTGTGGATCGGGGTTTACAAAATAGAAAATAATGGACAAAAAATATAAAGAATAGAGAATAATGGACCAAAATAATAAAGAATAGAGAATAATGAGGTGCTAAAATATAAAGAATAGAGAAAAATAATCTAAAAATTTAAAGAATACTGAAATGAAGGAATCCCCATCCAGACCCTCACGTATGATCTCAAATAAATGAGCTGTAAAATTTCAAAATACTCACGAGCAACTGTAATTTGTCTGCAGACTGTCTGTGGAGTATTGCCAAGTGTGGTTGTATGTGCAACATCACAGCAAATGGTATCGCCATTGTTAACTATCACTGGGCTCCAGGTAAGGGTACCAGTAACATCATAGGATTTTTGATCTAATACGCTGGTAGATGTAAACTCGGATGTAAACTGAGTATTTTTATTTTGATTTCTCATGGTCATTATACCAGCTGGATAACCATTGGCGGAAATACATGTCCATGTGCCTTGTTGTCCTGGTGTCAAAGTAGTTGGTCCAGTCAAAGTTGGTGCATCTGGTGAAACTATTAAACAAAAGTATTAAATAAAGAATTACTATCATACAACCGCAACACTGCATTTACCTTATGAAATTGCTGTTCAAAACCTATCTTGTCCTTTTATAAATTCTGTAAATTATGAAATTGTATGCATTTATTATTGTGGTTGTTGGGCAATGGAATACATACAAGTTTGATTAACACAATTTCAACAAATGAGCTGCGTCAGATAGAAATCGACCTTATGCAAATGAATATCAATACATCTGTTAACTTATTACAAGTTGAAAAAATCTCTATGCAAAGTCTGTAACTGTTTGAAAATTGAGTTCATATAAAAACCCTACAAAACAATCTTTTATTTCGTATTTGAATGTTCCAAAATAGATAAAATTCTTATACATGTATATGTATACGTGCACTTTCATAAGGTCGATTTCTATCCGACGCAGCTCAAATCATGCATACAAATGTGAAGGTCACAATTTAGCAGAATGTAAAATGTGGGTTCTAATTGACTTATTGCTGAACAGTACTTATACTGTAGCATTTTTCCCCATAACAAAAACTTCTACAAAATCTCTGAATAAAAATGGTATTGAAATGAGTTATCTATCATTCATAAAATTAATGATTTCTCATCATAAAAAGGTTAAAATGGAAAGGATCTGGTTTGAATGTAAAGGTTGAACCCCATATGAAACCTACCTTTGTACTGCCCATCAATATTTTATTTTATTCAATTACAAAACGAATATTGTATGGAATATGTAAGGAAAAATTCCAAAACAGCAAACTTCTACATCATTTGGTCTCTGGTAGAGAGTTGTCTCATTGACAATCATACCACATCTTCTTTTTATATAGATGTAGTTTAATCTAATTTAATGCTTCTTCACCAATATAAAATTTGGGTTAACATCTTTCCAGCCAGCTATGAGGTAGATTTGAAATAAATAATTTTGTGTGGTCATTATGCTTGTGTATGTGTTGTTTTTTTATGTGAATATGTTAAAATAAATATAACTTAAAATGATGCAAATCAATGAACCTAAATTACTTTAAACTGTTAAACTACAAACCAGCCAATATCAAAGAGTTTGATATCTCTAGAGGAAAAGATAACCAGTTTTCCTTTGATTTCAAAATTTTTTGTCCTAAAATACTACACATATATTCCTCATAGTCTGAAGAAAAATAGTCCCAAATACCAATCTTTGACCCAAAAACTTTAATATCAACTATAAGGGCATCAGGAGGCTGAGCTTCTGTTTCAGGCAGATTATTTTTTTTTCACATGATAAATAACCAGATTTCTGAGAAAATTGCCTGTATCAACGGTGACACATAAGTTTACAAAGCCATCCAAATTTCATTTATATGTCAACCTTATTATCTTTAAAACAACTTTTTAAAGCAAAGTTGAATAGTTTCAATTGTACACAGTGTTATAATATTTATCTAATAGTGTTTTCTACTTACAGTGAACTTCAATATATTTAGTTGTAGTAAGAGGGTTTTGCAGTACACCATTTTCTGCCTGGCACTCGTACACCTCTAAATGATCAGCTAAAGTAGCTGTAAACGTTAAAGATGTTGTCACTGCTGTACCAGAAGTTGTTGTAGAAATACCAGTTGTTATTTCGGTGTCATCTTTGAACCATTTCACTGTTGGTGCTGGACTTCCTCTAGGAGAAGTACATGTTAATGTAATCTGGTTATTTAGAACTATGTTTTGAGGTCCGTCGATGACTGGTGATCCAGGAGGAACTAATAAAAGAAGAAAAAAATGTGAAAGTGAATATATATATATATTACAAATTAGTTGACAAATGTGTATTCTATTTAACTTCTTTTAACAACTAGAAGCTCCAATGAGCTTGTATCCATTGTCTCCATCTTGACATTTCATATTTCCAAAATTGACAAGCTCTATTCCAGACATTTTAATAAAAAAAAAAAACACCTTTTAAATAATTTTTAACATCTGGCAGGAACATTTTTGTTTCTCATTTTTACAAATTTCTTGAAATAGATTTTTGACATATAAGGCAGTGACTTTCACTATTAATATAATATTCTACAAATGTTGTAAACCATTATTTCTATTACTGTAATGAAAAAGATAGCTTTGGGGTTTATTATTTTATCAACTATTTTAAAGGGGAAAAAAATAAATAAAGATGATGATGATGGCAATTCTTGAGAACAAACTATAATTTTTCACATTTATTACAGTATTTTGGACAAGACATGGATAATATGTATCAAATTACTTACTCTGGGATAATACAGGTACAATGACAAAAACTAGAACGAAAAAGTAGGAGATCCCTGATGGTAGTTCTGTGGATTTTGACCCACCCATCCTTGAGGTCAAGGTGGCACTTCAGGCAGATATTATTTTTACAAGGACCTTGATGTTTGGTGTCTTTCCTAAAAGAAAAAAATATATATTGCAAAATTAATTAATACATTATCATAGCTATGAACATGACATAATAATAATATTATACACACTTCATAAAAACACTTTTTTATTTGACTCCACTCTGATCCATTTCAGCATACATGTATATTAAAAGTGTACGTGAAAGATATGTACAAATATAGATCAGGTCATTAGTTTTCTTGTTTGAATTTGTCATTTCGGGACCTTTTATAGCTTGGTATTTGTTATAGATGTTGCTCATTGTTAAAGGCCGTACAGTGACCTATAGTTCCTAACTTCTACATCTATGAGTTGGTAAAATTACATTTTGTATCTTTTTAGTCAACTAGATACTTTAGTTTTGTTATGATTTTCATATTTCTGTTCAAGATTTTGTTTCGATTTTGTCTGGATCATACATTTTATATTTTTTTTTTAAAGCACTCTACTGTTACAACTGGATGAGTATAAACCAATCAGTTTGAAAAGAAATACCATTATGCAATCACTTGGTGACTATTTACATGTATACTACTCCCAAAATTATGGGGTGCTGTTTAAATTTGGCTGAAAATTTTCCTCAAAATGGAACATAATACATTTTGCCTGTATTCCTGAAAATAAATTTAACTCTTGAATATTATTCCTTATCTACATCATGTACATGTACATAAGTATTTAACTACGGAGGCAAGGTGTTAAAGGATTATTACCCAAATTAAGTGGTTTAATTATCATTTGTTCATGAAATTTCGAGTCTCAATCTAATTGTATAGCAGATATTAATTAAGAGGGGGCCAAGGCTGTCCTTATGAAGAAGCAAAGTTTGTATTATCCACTATGTAAAATCTGCTATAAAATTAAATCAATAAAGTTAGATAGAAATTAAAGATAAAATATGTCCCAGGGAAAAAACCAATATGCCCTTACAAAATATGAATGGTCTATGCCTTAACTGAAGGGGACTTTTCAATTCATGCACTTTCCCGTAAATTTCCATTGTCTCAATGCTTTTGTTATTACGTCACAGTAAGAACCAAATTTTCGATGATATTGTTTACACAGAAGGTCAACCTATGTAACTCATTCATAAAAAACAACTCAAGATTGGTGTACGTAATTCCCCAACAGAAAGAATGTGTCAGCACCTTTTGTAGCAAAGAACAATGAAGAACATATCACATTCAAACCCTAGAAAGTTTTTAATTTATCTATACAAAAAAGTTCAACTTACACATGTTTGATTGCTCAAGAGTATATTTTGGGTTAGCTTAGTCCAAATAATTACAACGTCTTGACAGACTATTTTAATTTTATTAAAATAGCCTTTCAAGATGTCATAATGATTTGGATTATCCTCGTCTCATGTGTTTTCGTGCTATTAAGAATGCATTGTGACGTCACATTTTCCATTGAAAAAGCATGCATAGGCTAGTACGAATTCATATGACTACAAAAACATATGATCTGACCATAATTTTTGATAAACACGGCAAAAACTTTGTGGGCATTCAATATGGGCCGAACTAATACATGAAGATATTGTTTCCATATTCAATTCACCATATTTTTCTTGTGCGCTTATTACACATTCTGGTATTGATAAACTAATAATTGAATAAACCGGGGAAAAGCACAGATTTTGGAAGTACTATTAGGCGACTATAGGATCAGGGGAAAGATATGAAGATGTTTATATCGATAAAAATGGCGCGAAATTACACACACGAATATCGCCGGAACTTGCATCTGTTACCTGGGATATTATATAAATAACACATAGCTGAGAGGGTAAAAGAGCAGATTGTTACCCCGAGAAAACATTTTCAACTGAGGCGAAGACAAGGTTGACAATGTCTTTTCGAGGGGTAACAATTTGCTCTATCACACTCTCAGATATGACGGTGTTATTTAATTTATTATACTGAATGTTCTGTTATTACTGTCTATTAAATTTCAAATTCAGAAAAGTAATAAACTAAGACGTCTTGTACATAACAATCATCCGTATTTAATAAAGCGCACACTTGATCAAGCGTCTCAGGCCGTGAAGGGTAATAGAGTATTTACCATAGGATAGAGTAAATTGTCTCCCTCGTATTAACCAATCAAAATCTGGCATTTTGACATAAAGTATAATAAAATATATTAGTAATAGTCCCAGCTGTTACCAAGAAACTATATTTCTTAGAAAGAATTGTTATTCACTGAGTCCCTACGTGAGTGACAGATACCGCGGAATTTTGTATACTGATGTTCAAAACTCGCCTAGGCACCCCATTCTATCGTCTATCTTAATGATCCTTAAAATTATGAACAAAGGCTAGATAAAAAAATGAAGGAATTGAATAAATTGAATAAACTGTAAACGGATCGAGACCGGGTTCGTCGACATGGTAAGCGTCACCTGTTAGTCATGCTCGATTAAACTGGAACTGTTAACTTGTTTACTTATTTTACTATTTATTTTATGAATATATATATCTGCACATGTGAAAATTATTTTTTTACGACTATTTATATATATGTGTGTGTGTTGCCGGTTAATATTTGTGTATTGGTAGATTGATTATGTTTTATTCATGTAGTTAATAAATATATGTAGAGAGCCTTATTAAAAATTGGTTTAATCCAAATGAGTTACTCTCTTTAAATAAAGATATTATTATTAAATTAGAATACATGCGATAAATTTACAGTCAGATCAGACGACTTTGTGAATTGAACCACAGACACATCGTATCGGTCAACCAATTCGTGATGGTGACCGTAAAATTTGTCATTGGTCAGTCGATTTCGGTCCGCGATTTTCCTCGTGCTATTTTGTTTTCAGACTCCGAGATTTGTAAAATAGATAAATGCGGATTTTCAAGTCAACATGAATCGTATTCCCAGGAAATGTGCCAATATATGAATATTTTCAGCAAAGTTGAATTAATGTGAAAATTTCAATAGAGTTAAATTTCTAGGGCTAGTTGTTACTCCACTGGCTTAAATTCGTGTGGATTTTTTTTTTAAATAAACAAAAATATATAATCTCGGGGGTCGAGAGGGGAAAAGGGGGGGGGGTACTTTTTATATACAAGGTGATAGGGTGTGTCGCTGGAAAGGTCTCATTTTCCATCTTGAAAATATGTGAATAGGTGGGAAAAAATATCAGAAATATATGATAAGGTCAATAAACTTTTTAGTGTATTATTTGTTAATTCTTCTTCGTCTTTCTTGATGTTCCCGGCTGTGTTTTTATCCACAAATTTCCCCTCTTTTAGTTTAAACATATTTTATTGTCTAAATAAACAATAGGATTGGATACAAGTTATAACAACTTAACATAATCCCCTCTTTTGACACTTTGGTATTCCACTTTTCCGACACACCACACGAAACCCAACCAATATGGGAAAAGGTTACATTTTTATGTACGCAATATACAAAAAGGTATACATTTTAAACTTCTAAATTGTATGAAAAGGGTGGGGTAAAAGAACCCCAGCGGCACCCCTATCAATTCAGTATTAAAGGGGCACTAACTACGAGATATGAAAAAAAATAGAATATGATTTTGTTTGGTTCAATCATTAATATAAGTGAAATGATGAAATAATAATTCGTTTTTAGCAACCAATTTGGTTCAATTTTGTCAAAATAAGCAAAGAAACATTGCTGATGAATTATTCACTTGCAAGTGAATAATTCGACCTCATTGAATCCGTATTCATGTGACCTTCAATTAAACCCAATAGCTAAAGATTGGTTACGCATGTAAAAGGAAAAGAATGTCAACATTGAAAGTGAAACAAAGGTGAACCATTTCGTTGACTGATTCGATCAACAAAAAAATCATTCTTATACAGGAAAAAACGATAATTAACTTTTTATTTAACCTATAACATGAATCAAACATACCTTGAAAATTCCAATTGCACGAGGTCGCTAGTTATTTATATTTATGTTCATGTTTATATCGGGTTACATGACAATCGGCAGTCTCCGATGGTCATCTCGAAAGTAAATTAGATGGCGTCTAGACTAAAATACACACGAAATTCTGATATATATTATCGAATAAATGCAGTGTTAACTGTTTATTTCAGACTTATTGTAATTTGAATATACGTTTTAGTATGTTATAAATCAAATTTGAGAATTTGAGTCAAATCGGTGAACATGAATTTGACAGCTAGTGCCCCTTTAAAGTGCCCCCACCCCGAGTAAATAATACACAAATTCCGACTAGGCAAAATACAAGGACAGATGCCAGTCACTGAACTGGTCACCGAATGATTGTTAAATCGGCCTTTTGATTACAGTAAAATCTGGTCAAATTGAACAAAAATGATAATCAGTGTGACTTCCTAGTGCTAGTGCTAATGTTACATATTTCTCTGGGATAATATTATCGCCTGATGTTGTGACTTTCATAGTATTAATTAGATTAATTGATTGTTGTTTCCTTAACTTCCAGTTGCAAATATTTCATGCATAATTTAGGTCGAAAGCAAGGAGGCAGCTCTTAGTCCATCTTATTACCTCAAGTTCACGGAATTCAAAAGAACTTTTTGTTCAAACAGATAACGTGTGAGGGTTGCGGACCCTTTCAATCAATGTGTTGATTCATTTACAACTTTGTCTTGAAAATGTATGAAATTATTGCCCTTGACTGGACTTTGAAGTAGGGCCTAATTAATCACCCACAACTTGTAAAGATTCGTGGTGCTTAATAATACCACTTGACTATCACTGAGGGCCGCTGGAGTATTGTGACTTCTTTATGTATATTTGTGAGAAGAAAAAATAATAAAGTGTTGAGCTCCTTTATTTAGTGTTTTGTGGACTATAGTTCGTCTTTTTGTCGTTTTTGTTTTTTTCCCATGGGCGTTGTCATTTTTTCTCCGACTTATCAGTTTTGAATGTCCCCTTGTAATTTTCTGCCTCTTTTTTAACACACAACTTATAAATAGAAACAAACGCAGTGAATCATGATGTAGTGTTTAACTCTCTTGCT